AGTGTCAGTGACAGACTTCGTTATGCAAAAGATGTACACAAATACAGTGGGAGCTTGTTGACCGAAATAAGAAAATGTAAATGCTCTTAAAATTGAACCAATTCCACGAATATTGCCTTGATAATTAGAAGGCTAATCGATATATAGAAAATTTAGATTTTTCCAAAAGAATTGTGGTTCTCCCTCTTTTATTTATTTTTTATGATTTTCGATCATATATCAAAGGTTTTCCATGCTCTATTTAACGCTTGGCTCTAATAAGGCTCTGATCCACTTATGTAGTTAACCAAACAAACAGCTTGACTTTATTGTAATACCCAAATCAGGACGAGATGTCGAGAGAGAGAGAGAGAGATAGACAGAAGCAGAGAGAATCACTGACAGAGCCTGACGTGAAATGTAATCAAAATAAATAACGAGCGTGTAAGCAGCCTCCGGTGTCTATTAAGCGCAATGAAAAGGGAGAGAGCCATTTGTTTAACGCAATCTCATTATTAGATGTGTCCCATCCCCTCAACCCTCACCGCCCACCTGCCACAGCCTCAGGCCACAATGCTGCTGCAAGCCCTGTATGTAACGGGACCTCAATTTACCTTTTGGCCTCGTCGCTGCTGCTGCTGCTTTTGGTGTTGCTGTTGATACTGCTGCTAGTGGATAATGCCGCTGATTACGCTGATTACAAGTAATTCTGTAAACTTGAACTGCAGGCCATGTCTAAAGTGGCGTTAACGCGTTTGTTGATTACTTCGCGGCGCTTCAGAGCGGTTCGGGAGGGTTATGACAGGGATACAAAAGCAGCCCCACTGGGGCGGAAGACAGGCCGACAAGCTCATTACGGCGCCAACAATTTGATTAATTACGTATTTGCACGGTCCCCACTTTACGGTAATTTACTTATCCCCCCTCCCTGCACCCATTCCATTTCTCCTTTAATGCAAAGGATTTCTTGCAGTTCTTTTTACGTTTCAGCCGCTGGCGGCGCTCCTTGCGGTGGTTGGCATATAAAATTTTATGCAAATTTAATTTACCTCAGGGCAACCATTTTTTTGGGCAAATGCCCAGGGGCCACGCCCACTGCTACCCTTAATCATGGCGGGGGCGCGTAGCTTGACAGTTTTAAGCCCATGGACCCTTTAGGGTCCGTTCATTGGTTCTATGGCTTATTTTTTTTGGCATTCAAATTTTTATTCTGACAGCGACACAATTTTTGCAGAATATTAATGAATACCTAAATTGAAAATGGTCAAATTATGCATTACATTCGAAAAATCAGCTTATGAATATTGTAATTACTATGAAATTCAGTGATAATTATTTGCTGTGGCATTAAAAAAAGTCAGAAAGTGTACACAAATATCAGTAATTAATGTTTCATACGAGTATATAAATAATTAAATAAACATCCCAAAAATAGTCAGTATACGAATGTTGAAAATAAATCCAAAATAAATGATTTTGTGCGGAAAAATCACGATGGTTGAACAACAATTGTATCAATTGAAAACGCTGAAAAATATATATATCCTCTTAATTCCCATATGCAGCTATTCAAAATGCTAAAGCGTAAAAAATATCTATAAAATGTGAGAGACCAGAGCAACCAAAAACAACAACAACAACAATATCAAAATGTGTGCCACATATCAGGGGGAGGAACAGCAGCAATCCAACTGTGAGCAATAAAGGAAAATTTATAAACCGAAATCCATGCATATCAAAATAAAGTCAGTGCACAAAAAATAATATACAAAAATATAAAGAGAGAAAGAGAGAGTGAGCGAGAGATTGAAAACAAAAGCTAATGCCAACATGAGAGTGGATTGCAGCAGCAAATGGCTCGTACAAATTTCTGTTGTGCTTTTCGTGGTGGTGCTTTCCGCGCGGCATCCCCTGCGGGCCGAGAGTGAGGTGATTGGCGACATTGTGGAGCAGCAGCAGCAGGAGGAGACGATGCAGGCGACACCGAGAAGCAGAGTGCGACGCCATCATCAGCATCAACATCATTCGTATCCGCACCAGCAACAGCAACATCATCATCATCATCATCATCATCAGTGTCAACACCCACACCAACAGAATCATGGCAGCAAACACAATCGGAAACACAGCAGACAGAGTCACTACAAGACCCTGGAATTAGAGCAGCAACAACAGCAGTTGGGCAAACACTGGCAACAGTGGCGGCAGCGGCAGCTGCAGTGGAGCAGCAGTCACCTGCAAGCACCGGATTATGTGAATGATGAGGCACCATCTTCGGACACGTCACAGTCAGAGACGAGAAATCAGCTTCTTGACGACGACCAGCTCTATGATCAATTCGATGTGGATGAGTACCAGCGCTATGCGAACATTGAAATGGCAGCTCCACGCTCTGGACGTCATCGTGGCCGCCATCTGCCGCTCAAAAACAGCAAGAACTTGCAATTGCCCATAATGACGGTGGACGGGAGTGGCAAGTATATGCGCTCCCTGCCAGATTCTGTGAGCTTCCTGAACGATCGTCTGCACGCTATCCTGCCGCAGCGGCACTGGCCCGTGAAGCGGGAGGCCCTGATCGAGGGGGATCTGATACTCGGTGGCCTGATGATGGTCCATTCGCGCGAGGACAGCATCACCTGCGGCCCGATTATGCCCCAGGGTGGCATTCAGGCGCTCGAGGCCATGCTCTTTACCATCGACAGCATCAACAAGGCGCAGCTGCTGCCGAATATCACATTGGGGGCACATCTCCTGGACGACTGCGATAAGGACTCGTATGGCCTGGAGATGGCTGTGGATTTTATCAAAGGTAAGCAGCACCAGCAGCAAATTGCAACGGGCGGGAGGACACATGCGAAATTCGCTTCACGGAAATTTATATGCAAATTGCTCTCTGTATGTTTGTGTGCTTTCTCCCATTGTGTGTGGCTCTGACATTGGGGTTTTTATGCTGATTTTATTGTTTGCATTTTCATTTGCAGTTTTTCCTTCTGTTTCAGTCGCAGTTTCAGTTGCACTGCGGTTAATGTGGCTTAAAATGCTAAATTTCTGTTGCATATTTACTCAACAACTCAGGCAACTGGTTAACCCAATGAAATGGTGTATTTTTCTCAAATTTATTATGCAATTTCAGAAATATTTCATTCATTGCCAATTGGAATACTTGGAGGATTTCCCCAACTTTCCATCTCTCATCCATCATTTCATATCAATCAATTTGCAGCTGTCTGGGTCTGGCTTCCACGTTACTTAAGCTAGCGTCAAGGATTTTATTAATAAACTAAATTAATAAATAAATTATGTGGCGCTTCACTCAGCGGGAAGCGGCTGATGAAACGAAACGAGGCTCTTGCTAACTAAATATGCATAATTCCCCAAAGACAAAACGGCTCTCGGCTTATTGGGTTCTGTGACACAAACCAGTGCGACAGAGATGGAGAGAGTCAGATAGAACGCCAGACAGAGAGAGAGAGAGAGAGAATGAACAGAATGTGTATTCAAGTGCGTCAGAGAGTAGCAAAGGAAGATGGTGTATAAAGTGCCGCTTATTACTTTTATCGGCGGTTCAAACAAAGAGGCGCGAAGCAACATAAACACATCCACACGCCGACAATCACGCATACACACACACACACGTATACTCCAACACCCACACACGCACACTCAACGATCCATAATCAATTGAGCACAGAAGAGAGAGCACATGGCCAAAGAAGCGTCCGCATCCTTGTCTTCGTCCTGGAACACTTTCTAATCTCCATAATTTCATTATTTATTTGCGCGGCAAGGATTTATTTGAGCGACGTGCCACACTGCCTCTCTCTCTCTCTCATTCTCAGTCCCTCACGCTCTCTGCCATCTCTGTCTGCTGTTGTGTGTGACGTATGAAAAATATAATTTTCCAAGTCACTGAATTATATTGACAGGATTAGGCAGCCCGTAAACTATAAGAGCATCTCCCCCTCGCCCACTCTCTCTCACTCTCTTCTACTCGTTTTTGTCTGTCCGTGTGCCCTACATTGTTCTTTTCGCCCACACCCGCACAGGCACTGAACGAGTATTCTGGTTAATAATAATCTAGTTAGGCATCGAGTGAGTTCCACAGACCCACAGAGTTAATTAATTTGTAGTTAAGAGCTGGCAGCAGCAGACGGTACTTCTCGCACTTGTGGGCGTGCCACTACGCCCCCTAAAGTGTGGTCAGTGGGACACATAAATATAAATGTGGCCAAAAGCAGTGCAAATGTTTTGTAGTCTTTGTTCGAATTTGGGTGCGCGAGTGGCGAGTGGCGCGTATACTCAATGTATTGATTGCATCTGATTTGTGCATTAGTTGCAAACCTATTAATAGGACCTGAAACCAAATTCATCAATGGTTTTATTACGCTGGAATTGACAGCTACACAATACCCACAAAAGCAATACTAATCTGGCAACAAACGTACATATGTATGTCCAATATTGTGGGCCATTGTTTCCAGCATCCAAACAGGATTTGTTATGCAGAACAAGACTAATATTTATCGCCAGGGGATAGCCATGAATGGCCATGCAAATAGGCAAACAGAAAACCAACAAAAGCCACAAATCACTAAAGCGAACTGCACAGTTAGAGTGGCATTAATTAGGCATGCAAATGTAGTAGTATATGCGCTAGTGATAGTATGCCTAGCCAACCACTAGATACAGTTGCAATGCACCAGCTATGGAGAAGAAATAAATAAAATAACCTGCCCCTAAAGGGTTGTTATATATTTTACGTATATTGCTGGACATGTCATAGTTGAAATACATTAAAACTGACAGCTGTTACAATGCCAAATTGGCATTAAACTTTTACATTTCGTAAATTTAGATGGAAATGCTGCCAGTATTAATCAACGAGATTTGCTTCGGTGGCACCACTATTTCGGCCGGTCACCGAGGGCTTCAAAGGAGGATCCCTTTGAGAAACTTTCAACCGGAAAGTTAACCTGTACTAATCCCCCCTCTCCCACTTTTTCTCCTCTTTATGCTTGCAGGCTCCATCAGCAACATTGACGATGCCGAGTATCATTGCAACAAGACGCAAGTACGAAAGGTCATCTCGGGGGTGGTGGGTGCCGCCTCATCGGTAACCTCCATACAAGTGGCCAATTTATTGCGCTTATTCCGCATACCCCAGGTAAGTGTCCTCCATATGTGCTTCTGTGTGTCCACTGTGGTTGTTCCTGTGCGCCACAAATGTCTGTGGGCAAAGTCCCACAGGGAGAGAGATGCAATAAGCAACCAGAAAGTTCTCTGGAAAAAACAATTTCAGCTTCCAGTTGCAATTTTGTGCATTGCTCACAGCTGCATCTGTGTGGCTGTGGAGCTATTTTTCAACCGACAAAACTTTCCTCCCTGTATTTTTGTTTGTAATTAAAATTGTCCAGCAGCCGCATGGAAGTCAGTGGGACAGTGCACAGGACTTTTAAGTGCCTTTACGTGCTGCTAAATTAGTAGAAAGTAAGAGGCAACAAATCACACAAATACTGCACCCATTGCAGACCTTGTTTCTCTCTGTGTGCTCGTATGTGGGTGGAATCACGTCTCTGCTGAAAAGGAATTAAGTAGCCTGCTACTGCTGCTACGGCTATGGCTTCTCGTACGTGAGTCGAGGACCAAAAGTCGATATGCGACAATAACTAAGTAACTGGAGCCAGGCTGGGAACAGCATTGGCATTCCCTCCTGCAAGTACCCCATAAAACGCACAAGCACGCGACAGTTGACGTTGGAGAAACAGCAGTAGGAGCAGCAGGCTAAGAAAGAGCAGTAGAAAAGTAACCATGAGGAGGAACCATTTTATGCAGACCCAGGTAGCCGTCCCCGCCCGCCCCTTAAAAAAGAGAGCTCATAAATCAGACATAAGCATTTGATTGCGTTTCTTTTGCTGTGCCCATCCGGGTTTTTGGTTTGTGTGGTTGAGCAGGGGAGGGATTCAATGTAAAAAATTGTTTCTTAAACTTTTCCCATGCAGAGCTGCTTGCTGTTGAAAATGCGGTCAATGGCGGATTGCGATTCCGATGCAGCTCCGTTGCAAACTATCTTGCAGCTCTCGATATCAGCTGAAAGCGGCTTGCAGTCCGGATAATAAATAAGTATTCCGTTTATATTCCACTTGACTATAAATACAGCGAAATAGCCCGGAGCTCTGAAAAATATCATATTTAATGAGAGTCTGTGCCATCTCTCAGGATTCCCGTATAGAATTCAATTGCTTTGGAAAAATGCTGAGCAGATGCAGCATGATGTGCTTTCATGAATCAAGAATCAGCCCCCACCCCACCGGGCAACAGACAATATCTCTTGGAGAAATTCATTAAATGTTCAAGCCATTCTCAAGGACAAGCAAGCACTTGGTTGGCTTGTTAATGGATGGATAATGACACTTAATTAGAAATTAAGAAGTTAAACACTTGCAGATGACTTGACACGCTTGTTCTAAAAGGACTGACCTGCCTCCCTGCCTTTCTTGCATTGAATAATTTATGCCTGAAATTGGATTCTGACTATTGGCATAGTGGCATAAAGTGGCTTTCTCTATGGGAATTGATTGGTTGCATTGCTGATGGTCTTCGAAACTTAAGCGATGCTCCTTTAAAGCACAGTGGGGGCAGAGAACTAAAAATAATTCAAAGGGGAAAATATGCGATATTCATCAAAGGGAATTTTGTACGGCAGCATACGGCAAAGGGAATCTCCCCCATTCTCGTGTGTCGAGTGCCATGGCGCTTTTTTAACATAATATTTGTTTTCTTGCTTTTAATGAAAATATTCTCGCATCACTTCATAATCTTTCGCTGGCAGGTATCCTACTTTTCGACCAGTCCCGAGCTCAGCAACAAGCAGCGCTTCGAATATTTCTCTCGCACCATACCCTCGGATCATTACCAGGTGAAGGCCATGGTAGAGATTGTGATGCGGATGGGATGGAGCTACGTTTCGATAATATACGAGGAGAGTAATTACGGCATCAAGGTGGGTACTGTGCTCCCTCATTGCTCAGATTTAAGGTTGGGGGCATGAGGGTAAGCAGATTGTCTTCAACTACTCTCTGTGTTGCGTGTGTCCTGGGTGTGTTTTTTTTACTGCGGATATATATATATAATCTGCCTATGCTGATGTTGATGTTTCCTTTCCTGTTCCACTCTGCAGGCCTTCGAAGAGCTGGAGGATCTACTGGCACGCCATAACATTTGCATTGCCATCAAGGAGAAGCTGGTAAAGGATTCTGGAGTGGCCGAGGATATTGCATACGATAATATCGTGCAGAAGCTGTTGACCAAGCCGCGGGCCCGAGGTAAGTGCCGTGCAAAGAAGTACAGTGGGGAACAGCCGTGCTACAATATGAAGCTGTAAAGCCAACAAGCGAAATGCAATTTTCAATGAAAATGTCAACGGAAGGATACGCCAGCCAAAAGAAGAAAACAACAGCAGGATGAACATTTCCCAACGCCTGCCAAATGAATGCAACGCGTAGGGCGTGAACTGTGACATTTTTTGGGGGAGGAGAGGGTGTTCGAGTGGCACGGAAATTGCAAAAATTAAACGAAAATATTTAAAACATTTCTCTCTCGTTTTCTGCATTTATTTCGGCATTTACTGCAGGAAATTAAAATGTATAGTCTTGTCGAGTGGCAACAAGGGGAAATAGTACAAAGGCTTGGACAGACCAGATTAAACTAAATTTTAGGCAAACCAATAAATCTAAGGAATTTCAATAGGGACAGTGGCCGAAATTAACAATCCATTATTCTGGTGTTATGGCATTTTAAAGCATTCAACAAAACAATCTCTTTAAAGTGGGGTGGTCCGACATCAACCCGAACAATTTATCAATCTAAATTTAAATAAAACTGAACTTTTTACCCCGGCATCAGTGTACCACACCAATCTGCGTCAATCATACGCCCCGGGGGATCGAGCAGAGGCGAAAAAAAAAATATATGTATACAGAAAAAAATAAATGTCAATCAATATAGCTTTCGACTGCGTCCCAACTCAAAAGCACATTGCAAAAAAATATTAATCAAATGCCACTTACAGGCTGGGCTCTACACAAAAATATATTAAAAATAATTACCTTCTAAACCTTTTATGCATGTCATTAATCAGGTGAAGAGCGGGAAGGATTGCCAATAAAAAGCAGCAGTGCCAGTGCCGGTTCCAGTGCCCTGGCCAATAACAATTGACTTTTGTCTGGGGTCCAAGAATATTTGATTTGCATAAATGTGCCATCAAGAGTCGTAAAGCAGGGGGTCCTCCAAACACACCAAAGCACACACACACACACACACACAGACAGAAAAATAAGGGTTCTTCAGCTATCATTATTTATTGTGATTTGTGATTTGACGCCGTTTACTGGCTGCCTTCTCCTGCTCCCGCTCCTGTTCCAACGCCTGGCTACAAACTCTTTTCTTCTTAACGTTCCCCTAACGATTAATCAATTTGACAAAGTATTTGCTCTGGCAACAGTTCTTTAATTTTGCATATGGCGGGGCTATGGGTTAAGGGTCTCTCTGAAAAATGGAGACCATCCGAACGGGTAGCAGCGCCTGGAAAGTGCCGTCAGGGGCAAAGTTTACCCATGTAAAGAAACCCCCCCCACATACACACCCACATACACACATGTCTGAGCTTGTGCTATGGAAAATGTGGCGGGGGATGGTTCTGACATGCTTTTGCTTTTTATCGCACTTTTGCCAAGTTTTATTTTGCTTTCTTTTCAGCCTAACATTCATGCTGTTAAATTTATGGAAATTTCTTCACACTTCACACATTTTATCACAAATTTGTTGGTGAAAAATTGGAAAAGTTTTCATATAAATTTTGCGGCAATATTCAAGAGAGTCTGCAAATCAAATTTGATGTCTAATCCAGAAATAAATGCATTGTAATTAGTGGAGACAAGGCAGTTAGGCAGCAAGTCAATGGAAAGTGGTCTTCTCTTCATCAAAGAATCGACAAGTTTTCCTGAGCATGAAAATGTATATTGCCTTTCTGCTTCAAGCCGCTCTTCTAAGGCTGCTTCTGTTTCAACAGCAGAGGCAAATCGATAATGCGGCCTGTCGGACAGGCAAGAGAATAGCTGCCTGTTGGTTGTGCCCCGATAAGAACTGACAACTGCCACTCATAATGTTCGCAGTCAGCCAGAAAAGGGGCCAGAAATCGAGTGGGTAGCAGCTCGAGACCATAACAATGGAATGCTGTGTCGAGAGTCCAGTATCGAGTGGTACTGGTTCTGTTCTGATATTAAATGTGACTACAAACACATACAAAAGATGAAGCCAGTCCTGCAGCTGACCAATACTGTGTCCTCGAGGGCGTATCCTTTGTGCAAAAGTGTCCCCCAAAAATGAATATCAGCAGCAGAGTTTCCATTACATGTCCGTACTGCATCTGACTTATTTCTAAGCTTTTTCCGGACTCTATGGAATATAATATTTTACGATATATTAAGTGGATTATGTCAATTAAAATTAATTTGATTCCCTTCTTTCCTTGCGTATAATTTGCGTGCTATTTGTGCTGTTGTGGACAGGTGCCATCATCTTCGGCTCCGACCAGGAAGTGAGGCAAGTGATGCGGGCCGTACGGCGGGCCAATGCAACGGGCTCGTTCTCCTGGATAGGCTCCGATGGCTGGAGTGCTCGAAATCTCGTATCGGACGACTACGAGCCAGAGGCAAGTAAACTATTATTTCGTCAGCGCCAGTCCGGATGACTGAGTGAGTTCGGCCAGTCGGAAATTATGAGGCCTAAATGGGCGAAACGGTGACGGATTTTGATAAATGATTCGCAGCAGCAGCAGTTGATGGTGCTGTCCCCCCAGACAAACAAAGGGCGTGACAATGTGCTGGCTGTGGCTGTGGCTGCGGCTGTGCGGCACCAAAAAAAAGTGAATAAATGATGGTCCGTGGAAACAATACAAAACAATACGTTTCATAGCGTTTTTTCCTATGATAAATTGTGGCCTTATTGAAATTAATTGTCCGTCTGTGTGGCATAATTGATTTGTGACACGTTGCAATCTAGATATGAGCGCGTGACTGGAACACCCATCGCTACCATTTTATTTTTAGACAATTAAATTTTATAATTATTTTTTAATTCGCCCACGTGGTGGTCACTCCTGTTACAAAACAGGTGGAGGGCACTCTTTCCGTGCAGCCCCAAGCGAATCCAGTGCGCGGCTTCGAGGAGTACTTCCTCAATTTAACTGTGGAGAACAACCAGCGTAATCCGTGGTTCGTGGGTAAGTCCCTGCCAGTGCCAACACACGCACAAATGCGATTATATTCGTTACCTTTAGAATTCTGGGAGGATCATTTCCAATGCCGCTACCCTGGCAGCACCAGCACCCCCTACAATAACTACACCAAACAGTGCACCACCAAAGAGCGACTCTCGCGGCAGAACACTGACTTTGAGGACCAACTGCAGTTCGTTAGCGATGCGGTTATGGCATTTGCCTACGCCCTAAGGTAAGTGCGTAAACCAGAAATGGCAGAAACATCTCTAACAAACGGCATTCCAGGGACATGCATCACGACCTGTGCGGTGGACGGCCTTCGCTGTGCGATGCCATGAAGCCCACCAAAGGAGCCGACTTGCTGAAATATTTGCGTAAAGTTCAGTTTAAAGGTAAGAGGCGATTAACTGTTGTCGTTGACATCCAGACTAAGTACTGGAACAGCGACTAAAATGTAAGCAACGTATACACTGCGTATGCGTGATAAGTCCTCCTAGGCGGCGACGCTCGGTGACGATTTCTAAGTGGCGTGCCAGGAGAATGTCGTCAGCCATGCGAAACAGTCGAGTCTCAAGTGTTGCGCACATAAATTTAAGTGGAAATATACCGCTGGCATTTGGTTGTGGTTGGACATGTACACGATGGCTGAGTCTTGGCTGGCTGAGTGTGAGAGTACGAGTGTTCTACGCACTGGCTATGCTTTCGAGTGGAAAATTGACTTGCTTGTCATCGTCATTGAACTCAATTTGAAATTCAATAAATTATACAGACCAAGAGAATGGGATGGCATGGTAGATTGGAGTGGGTAAGCTCCAGCCAAAGGCTTCTCTGGCGCTCTGACTGACACAGATAGTCAATTTTCTGATAGAGCATCAGCGGAGGCATGGTGCCTCCATGGCACGCCCCTTTCTTTCAGGGCATAGCGCCATAAACACTTTTCCTTCCCAATTCACTCGTCCCATTCCCACAGGCCTCAGCGGCGACCATTTTCGCTTCGATGTGAACGGCGATGGACCGGCCCGGTACAACATCATTCACTTCAAGCAGTCGCAGATCGGTCAGTACCATTGGGTGAAGGTGGGCGAGTACTACGAGGGCGAGCTGCGTCTGAATATGTCGGGTAAGCCAGAAGACGGACGCCAGAAAATTTCCATTTGCATTTCTGTTTAAATTTTTTTGATTTTCATTCCATTCCATCTGCACAGAGGTGAAGTTTAAGCGACTGAGTCCAAAGCCACCGGAGTCCGTTTGCAGTTTGCCCTGCGATGTGGGCCAGGCCAAGAAATATGTCGAGGGCGAGAGCTGCTGCTGGCACTGTTTCAATTGTACAACTTATCAAGTAAGTGCAAAACATTCACTCCAGCTGCTGCTGCTGCTGCTGCTTCTGCTGCTGCTGTCGTCTAATTTATTTGCCGGAGCTATTCTACCAATTGAAACGGAAAAGCCACTGCACCAGAGAGATACGGGCGGTGGGTGGCAAAAAGAATACCCAAAGGCCGACCAACAAGGCTCGTTCCCCTTGGTGGTCTCTTGGTGTCGAGTCCACAATTAAAATAAGCAAAAGAAGTTCCATTTCCATTGAACTGTATGCCTCCATTGTGCGTGTATCCCTCTCTCGCAGATTCGCCACCCTGATGACGAGACCCACTGCCAGCTGTGCAAATGGGGCACGCTGCCCGATGCCCACAAGCAGTACTGCCGTGCCATACCGGAGGTTTACCTGCGTCCAGAGTCCGCCTGGGCCATCGGTGCCATGGCGTTCAGCTCAACGGGTATCCTGATAACGCTCTTTGTGATGGGGGTATTTGTCAGGTGAGTGAAGTGCAACAAAATATCAATTTTCCAATACGTCAGTGGGCGGTTTCCTGTGTCGTTTTTCCGATCTGAAAAACTTTCCCCTCTTCAAGGCAATTAAAAACTTTTCCATATTACTTTGAAAAGAACTATGTGTGCCCCACAACTAAAGAGAAGAGACGTAAAAATCATTTCCTAATTGGTGCTACAGACGCACACATGGATGAAGTTGCAAACTTTAATTATCACCCTAACACTCACCCGCTGCCCCTCTCTTCTATTGCATAAAACAGGCACAACGACACGCCTATTGTACGGGCCTCGGGACGGGAGCTGAGCTACATTCTGCTGGCTGGTATTTTCATGTGCTACGGCGTCACCTTTGCCCTGGTCCTGAAGCCCACCAACATCGTGTGCGCCATTCAGCGGTAAGTTTTGCAGTTTTGCCCCCCCCCCAATTCCGGGGGTTGCGATGCGGATGCGAATGCAGCTTCCTTGTGTGCGTTGCAGGTTCGGCGTTGGCTTCTGCTTCACCGTTGTCTATGCTGCACTGCTGACCAAAACGAATCGCATCGCACGCATCTTCAAAGCGGGCAAACAGTCGGCCAAGCGACCCTCGTTCATTAGCCCGAAATCACAGCTGGTGATTTGTATGTTCCTCGTCACTGTCCAGGTGAGTGGGATGCAGAGAGGAGTGGCAATGGCCGGATTCTCCATTGCATTTGGCATGATTACTATTTCTGTTCTCTCTCTCTCTCATTCTCTGCGTCTGGCTGTGTATCATTCATAGATAATCATCAACGGCGTTTGGATGGTAATTGCACCATCACATGCCATGCATCATTATCCGACACGCGAGGATAATATGCTCGTTTGCGACTCGTATATAGATGCCTCCTACATGATTGCGTTCTTTTATCCAATCGTTTTGATTGTAATTTGCACGGTCTACGCGGTGCTCACGCGAAAGATACCCGAGGCATTCAACGAATCGAAGCATATTGGTGAGTGCCGTGCCGATTGATTGAGTCTTCATCGAGGACGCGGCTCGAATAAACGCCTGATTCCTCATTCTCCTTTACAGGCTTCACCATGTACACGACCTGCGTAATTTGGCTGGCATTTGTGCCACTGTACTTTGGCACCGCCAACCATGTGCCCCTGCGCATCACCAGCATGTCGGTGACCATCAGTCTGTCCGCCAGTGTGACCATTGCATGTCTGTTCTCGCCCAAGGTAAGTAATTGAGCGGGGGGTGGTAAGTGTGGATGGGACTGGGGTAATTGCTGCATGCATATTTCATGTTAATTATTGCCAATTTTTCAGTTTTCTGTTGTCCGATTTCCCAGCCGTTGCTTGCGACATAATTTGTAAATTGCATTTCGATTCAGTTCCTGGCCCTGAGTTGCGGCTCAAGTTCTCCTTCTCCTAGAGACAGAGAGAAAAATACGATAAATGGACAGAAGCAGTTCATTAAAATGGCCAAGGAGGCGGGCAGCGAAAGGCGAGAGACGATAATAAGAAGGCGCCAAGTGGCGGTTAACTTTGCAAACGGATTCGTTATGTGCTGGGAGTTCGCCTGAAAGCTGTCATTTTATTTTTAATCATCGCTTTTCCTTTTTATGTTCAAAGTAAATATGTCAGGGTCCGTTCTCTGAACACTCTGTGCACTGGTGAGAGTCCAGTCTGGACTCTGGTCCCAGCTGAGGTTCCTTGCCACAAATACATTCAGTACATAATGGGCTTCATTATGGTCTTGGCTTTGGCTAAAGGCAAACTGCAAGCCAAGCCAAATATCGACAGCATTTCATGACTTCACTCTGAAGAGGGGAATGTGATTGGGGGTTGGGGTGCGAAATTGCCTTTTGGAAAAGGGATTGCGGCAAAACAATTTGCTTGGCCAATTAAATTAAATAAGAGCAGCACAGAAGCTGCAACAAAGTTACGCCCTGGTTTGAAGAAAAGTTGGAAAATCGTGTTCCCATATGCAGATCCAGCAGCGGCATAAATAGCCACATTTTATGGTAGGTAGTAGCTGTCGACCGATGGGAAAACGAGACTATAAATACTCCACACTGGGGCTATTATTAAATGTCAGGGAATAAAGTAGCTTGCGACAGTGCGACAGTGCGACGTTACTCCTTGGCCCATAACCTAGACGGAGCCAACGCCAAAGCCAGTGGCAACTTTCCTATCAGATGTCACCCAATGCACATTGTACACACATAGACGGAGGGGGGCTCGTGTACAAACAGAGGTACACCTGGGGCCATAAAAATGCAATTTACAATTGGTGTGGCAAGAGTGAGAGCAGAGCAGCAGCGACAGTTAGGGCCGCATGCCACAGAAACACAAAACCGGAGGGGGGTCACTGAACTACACACTCACCATAAAGGTGCCACCAGCCACGCCTGCCGCTCACACAGAGAAGCGGAAAAGCAACTATGGGCTGGGTTGGTGGCTAGCAATTTCCACTTCCGACTGCCATTCCCCCCATTTCACGCTGACTTACCCGGCTGCTCTGGCTCTGGCAGTATCCCCATTTGCATTTCCCCATATACATATGTATTTCCTCCTATTTGTTTGCCTGTTTGCCTTCAAATAAGGGCACAGAGCGGCCAGAGAAGCACCAACACACTGGGGCACTGGGGGAAGCACAATAAGAAACGGCAACCAAATGGCTTCCAAACAATGTCAAAGGACGGCCGGAAATGACCGAGCAATACGTAACTGAGCGCAGCATAACGTAAGGGGGGAACGTTACGTAAATTAATGACGGACTCGTGTCAGTGGCCTTTTGTTTTGGCCATCGCGAAGGGGTGGGGGGAACTGGCTAAGCTAATGACACTACAACTTAGGGCTGGGCGTATGCCTTAAATGGGCGTAGATGGTGGGCGTGGCTGGTCACGCAGATTGTTACCTTTAATGAAAGCCATAAATTAAAGATTCTGCGCATACAGTTGGAACTTATTCAAATAGCCATATCGTATGTACAATGGGTCGTATGCTTAATGTGGAAATGAGTACTGACGAATGAATTCTATTTAACCATTGGCAATGATTTAATTTGCTTCGTTATGTCATTACAGCTCTACATCATACTAATTCGTCCGGAGCGTAATGTCCGGCAGAGCATGATGCCACCGCGTCATGGCAACATGCACCGCACCGCTGGCACAGGACCCTCGTCGATGATGGCCGCGGCTGTTGTGGGCGCCGCCACCTGCGCCCAGGAGGAGAAGATACAGCGGCACATTACGCCCACCAATACGGGTAAGCAGTTGCCAGATATTTTTTGCATGCCTCTCCATATTGGTCCCTTCTCCCGTAACTCCACCCGCGCAGAGCCATCATTGAAGACGAAAAAATTATGCGAAATGGCCACACAGACGATATCTAGCATTTTCACATCGCTGGACATCAATGCCTATAACCAGATTCCCTATGCCGATCAGTTTGTGGCCAATAATACGGCCACGGAAGCCACAACCACGCCCCCGGCCAATGCAGACAATGAGCGGGAGCAGGTGGTGTCAAACAACAACAAAATCAATCAGATGCAACACGGCCAGTCGACGGCGGCTGCCGTTACCATTGTTGTCTCAACGGCCGTCAATTGTGTTGGCAGCCCTCCGGCACTCACAGCAACAGCAGCAACAGCAACAACAGCAGCAACAGCAACAACAACAACAGCAGGTGTAGTGGGAACAACAGCTGCAGCAGTGACAGCGATAGCTGCCACAGTCACTACAATTGCAACATCCACCAGCACAGATGCCAAAGATGCCACAGAAACCACCAATGGCAGCCATCGGGGCCCCGTTCTGCAGACAAACTTATAGCTAAACGCTCAGGAATTGCAGCAGCAGCTGCTTAAGGAGCAGCATCGACAGCGTCAGCGGGAGTCATTGGAGCCGGCACAGGAGCCACTGAAGGAGGAACAGCAGCAGCAGCAGGGTTCCGGCAGCGATGGCGGCAGCATAGGCAGTGGAACCGCCTCCAGGAAGCGGGCAGCCATACCCGTTTAATTTCCACCCAAGAAGAAGAATCCAATACCAAATATGCAAGTACGAGTAAGTGCAAGAAAATGTGAATATAAGTACTTAAAGTTTTCCAAGTGTCAGACAGGGACAGGCACAGAGTACAGGGAGAGAGAGAGCACTGGGAACCAAGTGGGGGAACGAACGCCTTCTCATGTTATCTAAAACGAAACTTGATAAACTTTAGCAGCAACATGAGGGGGCAGGCCCCAGGGAACTAAGTTATGAACATTTATGCATGTGTATCCGCTATTCCGCTCCCCTCAACCGAATACATTCGGTTTTCAATGAAGCATCAACCGCTTAGTAACCAAACCAAACCAAAGCAAAGCAAACCAAACCAAACGATTTGTCAAACAATTTGTCAGCCATTAAGCAAATAAATCAATATTAAGTGTTTATCTTTAAGCTCTTTAAGCTAATACTTTCTTCAAGGATGGTGTTTCTACAGAAAAGAAAAAAGATACGGAAACCGAAAACCGACAACTAAGAAAAGGAAAATGAATGAAAAATGTGATATAATTTCAAAAATGTTTTTTCTAAAACTACGTTTAACTACCAGTAAAACTAACTATCTGAATGTAACACTTAAGAGTAGGAGCTGAAGGTGCAAGTTAGACCTGTGCCACAGCACTGGAGTAGACAGAGAGATAGAGAGAGAGAGTCAATGAGGGGGCGCAATTATGTTCCCAAGGGGCTGGGCTGACTTCAGCCCCTTTCGAATGTAGCGGCAGGAATGGAACGGAGGTATAAACAATAGCAATTAAAATTGCATTTATTGTGTTGTTTTGAGCCCAGCAACATGGTAGATTTAATTGTTGTCCAACTCGATGTGTAAATAGCCTGCATATATACATAGGAAATATACCTCTAGCCTCGTATTCTCTAGATGTGTGTACAAAATATTAATGTTGATTGTGCTGTTTACCATTTGAATGTGTGTTGACTTTAAATATATATCCCAATAAATACATACATAATTGTATATGTATTCTAAGTATGTCTAAGAAATAATAATACATATTAAAAGTTTAGCCAAATGTTAAGACAGTTTAAGAAGTTAGCCCAATGTTTGATATTTGATTCTCTGTGTGTGTTACGTGTACATAAATAAGCAAACGAAACCAAATGAACATTTATGAATGTCTTTCACTTGATTCACAGCCAATACTCGTTATAATAAGAATAATATACATATTATTAACAATAAATATGATGCTAAATGTTGTTAGGCTGCATATACATACATATATTTACGAATAAATCGAATCAAAACGAAACGAAACGAAATCGTTTCCTCTCGTTTCATTGGGTGGTCAGAACCAGGGCCTCAGCTGGATCAATGCTCAATAGCTGGGCATTGTAGCTAGTTCTATAGAGGGTGAAAGCAACAACAAATTAAAGAGTGATATTCCGTGTGCCCCAAGACCCCCCACTTACCCCTCAGATTTGGTGGACGCCAGACTGCGGACGAGCAGCTGCAAGTTCCCAGATAGATTCTTATCGAACTCCCGCAGGTCGATAGTTTTGGCCTCGGAGCCAAAGTTGATTACAGCCACAATGGTGGGGGAGTTGGCGAGCGATCTAAATGGACAAAGCATTAGGCATTGAATGCACTCTGTGGTAATTCCACTCACCGTCGAACCACAAATATGTCCTTGGTGAGGGCCAGATACTTGGTGGATCCGTTCTGCAGGGTCTTCGATGATTTGCGCAGTGCCACCAGCTCCTTGTAGATCTTCAGATGGGAATGCTCCGCCGCCAGCTCGGTTGCCACATTGACTGTCTCGTAGTCGCCGGCCAGGGGCAGCCACGTGGTGGGTCCATCGGTGAAGCCCGCATTGCTGCCACCCGTCCAGTGGAAGGGCGTTCGCTCGGGATCCCGGGTGTACATCTCGAAGATATCCGCATTGGAGTTGCAGCCCCAGGGATCGACAGTGTCCTCCCAGCTGATCTCACCGTCGGTCATGCCGATCTCCTCGCCCTGGTATGTCACGCTGGCTCCCGGAAGGATCATCACCAGCATGTTCATGCCATCAATGTGGTCCACTCCGTATCGGCTGGCTGCACGTCGCTTGTCGTGGTTGCCCAGCTACACAAAAAGGGAATGGGTATCGTGAATCACTTTAGCCACTTCATCCAGGAAGGGAGTCAGAGTCCCTCAACTTACCACCCAATTGGGCGTGCGACCAGGGGGCATATTCTGCAGCCACAAGTCGATTGCCTCCTGCACGGTCTGGGCACTGAGGCCCTTCTCCTCGATCACAGTGATCAGGTTGAAGTTGAAGGGCAGGTGGGCGCCCTCCGTCGTCCGATTGCCATAGAACTGCATGGTGAACCAAGCCGCAGTGTATGTCTCTATGAGCAGGACACTCGAGTTGCCGCCAAATATCCGCTTGTGATCGTCCAGCACCGTGCGCCATTGGTAAACCATGTCCACGGTCTCTGGCCTGTTCTCAATGTACGTGGTCGTCAGATAGTCGCGATCATCTTTATCCTCGGTGGCTCCACTCACAGTCTCATCGGGGTACTGACCCTCCGCATCGGGCAGCACCTCGAAAAGCGGCGGCAGTGCGTCGCAGCGGAAGCCAGCCACACCCTCGTTCAGCCAGTACCGCAGCACGCGCTTCATCTGCGCCACCACGTCGGGATTGCGGTAGTTCAGATCGGGCTGCTGCACCGCAAACTGGTGCAGATAGTACTGCTGCCGCTCCTCGTTCCACTCCCAGGCACTACCACGGAAATACTGCAGCCAGTTGGTGGGCGGCTCCCGCTGCCCCGTCTCGGCATTCACCTTTCCGTCGTGCCACACGTAGTAGTCCGCGTAGCCCTTCTCCCGCTTCACTGATTTCTTGAACCACTCGCTCTCGTTGCTCGAGTGATTGGGCACAAAGTCCAGTATGATCTTCAGGTCCAATTCATTGGCTTTCTTGATCAGCGCACGGAAGTCGTCCAGTGTTCCGTACTCGGGCTGAATGTCAAAGAAGTCGGAGATGTCGTAGCCAAAGTCCACCATGGGCGAGGAAAATATGGGCGACAGCCAGGCGGCAGTTACGCCCAGATCCTTGAGATATTCCAGCTTGCTGGTGATGCCATTCAAGTCCCCGATGCCATCACCGTCCGAGTCCTTAAAAGAACGTGGATAGATCTGATAGAACTGCGCCGTCTCCCACCAGTCCTTGGTCTCTGCAGCTGCTGCAGAGGTCAGCACTTGACAGCCCTGACCTTGGCCAATGGCAAATAACACCAGAGTTAGGAGCCCCAGCGGCAGCCGCAGCCGTGGCACTGTTTTGTTCAAAATCACAGACATTATGTACGGCGCTTCGGCTCCTCTTTGGGCTTTTATAGCCCTCTCCAGCTAACACTTAGCCGTAGGTTAGATAAGCTCCGACAATGGAAAATGCCAAAGTGTGTAACTGAAGAGGTTTGGATAGGGGTTGGGATGGGGTATGCCGATTTTTGGCTTCAGGATTTCTCTTAAAAAAGTGAAAAAAAAGGCGAAGGGAAGCCCTTTTCCGTCTTTAGTTATTTTAGACAGATTATAAGTGTATTCCGAATTCGGATTTCCCATTTATGCTACTGGCAATCCGCAGATACGACTGAACACTTGACACTTGTTTTGTAAATGATTCAGCGGAGGCTATTACTCGATGAGCGCTTATCATTGGAATCCATATAATCACACGACTGCGCGCAGTGGTCGATTCTGCCAATCTGGCAAGCAATAATTAATAGCTCAAAAAATAAATGAGTAATATTTTGTAAAATATTTTTATATTTTAAAATATAAATCAGCGGAATATTCAAGCAAATTTTTTAATTTTTTATTGTTGAATTATAAAACTTCTAATGTTTTTTTTATTTAAAATATTTAAGAGTTTTTCTAGATTTATTATGTTAATATGTAGACGTATATTTAATTTCTGCGCCACTTTCGACTTAATTTACTTTTACAACCTTACTCAATTTTCTATTTATTTTCTAGAATCCTCGCTGAGTTGTTTTACCAATTAATTGAGCAAAAGCATGGCTTCGAATCGCTTTTACTTTTTTCCTTTGCACAGTTTTATTGCGTATAAAATCAAACAAATTAATGTGTAGCGGAGTGTTGCCATTTTTTTTTTGACATAGACGATTCACAAGGGCTATTTTCATAAACACAGAAAAATTTAAGGCGTATGGGGACGTATGTCAAAATATTTTATTCCACGCAAATCTCGGGTATATGTATAAGAAAAAACACTCTAGAGGAAATGTTAGGTTCTACAACGATTTACCACTAATGCATACATATAAGCATAGGACACACACACATATCTTTAATTGAATACATACCAACTATGATCAATATAAATTGTTATTTTAATATAATTCGCTGAGTCTCACTCATCCAAGAAACGGCGCAAAAATGTACTCATGTATGTATGGAAAGAAAAGTTTCGTGGGATTTAGCCTCGTGCAATAAATATCGCAACAAAAAACATTGTGAGATATATAAAAATTAGAAAAAAATTAACTAGATTTAACAATTTAATTTTTCATTTAGTGCCTGCCAGACTGGCAGAATCAACCACTGTGCTACGCCCTGAGCGCAATCATATAAAAGAGACAGACAGCTTGGAGTTGCCCAACAATTCAATAAAATGCACAGAGCACGAGTAAATCTTTTCAGCACACTCTGCTGCCTGGCAGTCCTGGCGAATCCATGCCTGTCAGCGTCGGTGAAGGTCATGGACTGGTGGGAGACTGCGCAGTTCTATCAGATCTATCCAAGGTCATTTATGGACTCGGACGGTGATGGCATCGGGGACTTGAATGGCATCACCAGCAAGCTGGAGTATCTCAAGGATCTGGGCGTAACTGCCGCCTGGCTGTCGCCCATATTTTCCTCGCCCATGGTGGACTTTGGCTACGACATCTCCGACTTCTTTGACATTCAGCCCGAGTACGGAACACTGGACGACTTCCGTGCGCTGATCAAGAAAGCCAATGAATTGGACCTGAAGATCATACTGGACTTTGTGCCCAATCACTCGAGCAACGAGAGCGAGTGGTTCAAGAAATCAGTGAAGCGGGAGAAGGGCTACGCGGACTACTACGTGTGGCACGACGGAAAGGTGAATGCCGAGACGGGGCAGCGGGAGCCGCCCTCCAACTGGCTGCAGGCCTTCCGGGGCAGTGCCTGGGAGTGGAACGAGGAGCGGCAGCAGTACTACCTGCACCAGTTCGCGGTGCAACAGGCCGATCTCAACTACCGCAGTCCTCTGGTGGTGGAGCAGATGAAGCGGGTGTTGCGGTACTGGCTGGACCTTGGGGTGGCAGGCTTCCGCTGTGATGCGGTGCCAGTGCTCTTTGAGATAGAAACCGATGAGAACGGACAGTATGCGGACGAGGAGGTGAGTGGCCTGACGGACGATGTGGATGCTCGCAATTACCTGAAGAGCGACCTCATCGAGAACCGAGTGGAGACCATCGACATGGCCTACCAGTGGCGCGTCGTGATGGACGACTACCAGCGCATTCATGGCGGCGACACGCGGGTGCTGCTGATCGAGACCTACGCCCCTCCCGCCTACACCATGCAGTTCTACGGCAATCGGTCCGTGGAGGGCGCTCACCTGCCCTTCAACTTCAACCTGATCACGGGGCCTGCCAGCGACGGCGTCTCCGCGAGCTCCATCAAGACGGCCGTGGACAGCTGGCTTAAGAATCTTCCCCCTGGTCGCACGGCCAATTGGGTGATAGGCAACCACGACCAGCGGCGGGCGGCTAGTCGCTATGGCGCGGCCAATGCAGACGCCATGAACATGCTGGTAATGATCCTGCCGGGGGCCAGCGTGACCTACCAGGGTGAGGAGCTGGCCATGACCGATGGCGAAATCAGCTGGGAGGACACACAGGATCCAGCGGCCTGCAACTCCAACTCTGATGTGTACGAGCAGTTCACCCGCGACCCCTCCCGCACTCCCTTCCACTGGACGAGCGGCACAAATGCAGGCTTCTCCACGGCCCAGAAGACTTGGCTCCCTCTCGCCTCGGACTACGCCACTGTCAACGTGGAGACGGAGTCCTCGGCCGATCGGTCCCATCTGAAGATCTACAAGGCGCTGGTGGAGCTCAGGAAAACGTCGACAGCCCTCCAGAAAGGATCCACAAAGTATGGAGTGCTCAAGGAGAATGTCTTCGTGGTGAAACGGTGAGTGAGCGAGTGGGAACCAGTCCTTATGGCTTGATGTAATCCGATTCTACTTAACAGCTACCTCTCTGGCACCGAGACCATCGTCTATGTGGCCAATTTGGCCAGCAAGGGCATCACAGTGGACCTCTCCGAATTCGACAAGACATTGCCAACGCATCTCAACCTGCTCATTCGCAGCCTGCAGTCATCCAAAAAGGAGAAGTAAGAAACTCTTTCATACAGTCTCTAAAACTCACTGAGTCTCTCTCTCGCTCTCTCTCTTTCTCTGTGAATCCTTTCAGCGCATTGTTTGAGGTTTATGAACTGAGTTTGGCTGCCGGCGAGGCCTTGGTGCTGAGCACCGTATGAAGCTCAAACTGAAGCCAGGGCTTTTCCGGGTTCGATTTGGTCATCAGCTGATGCGATTTCCTATCTGCACTCACTTGAGAAATACTTTTATCTTTGCCTCAAAGCAAATATGCCGTGGCTTGCATAAATAAATGAATAAGTACAGAAACAAGCAAACAAACCACTCAACCACTCCTCCATACATACCCCGCTGCCGCCGGATGGGGGGGGGGGTGAAGTGCCACGGAGTACTCTGTTAATTCCCGCTCGGGAATGCCGGGGTTCGCCATTTAAAGTGTTTACACACAAATTAAAGTCAAGCACAAGTCTCACCCTCCCCCACTCACCCATCCACTTTCTGGATTCGGTGAGTGTTTTGTATTTTATACTTTGTGTGCTTAAAAAGAAACCCAAGAGTCGGGTTATCCCCAGCATGTGTGTGTGTGTGTGTGCAGTATGTGTGCCACAATGTTTAAGAGTAAATACGGACGCCGACCAGGGACTAGGCCCATAAAACAACACTGTCTGCTTTGGGCAGGGATGGCTCTGGCTTGGGGTTTGCTCTTTGAAGTCGAAACCGTCGAGAGTGGCTCGATGAGTTCCGCAAGTGGGGTTGCCTTTTGGGCATATCGATTACCAATCTGCATACCATAAATTCTATAGCTACCCATCTGAAAGTAAACCAAAAGAAAAACCTCAATTGCGTTCTAAATAATTAAATTGCGTTTACACATGGTAATTGGCAGACTGGCTGTGGAGTCCTCTTCACGTTAAGTATACGCCACAGTTGCCGCTTGCAAAGATTTTTCAAATATTCGAAATTGTTTTGGCCACACACACACGCACACGCACGGCGCCTCGTGGCAAGCCCGACTTGGTTGGTGGGAGAGGCTGTCGGACTGTCAGAGCCTGAGCTCCTTGGCTTCCCAGTCCATCCACAAGTCGAGTAGGAGAGGCTGTCGGACTGTCAGAGCCTGAGCTTCTTGGCTTCCCAGTCCATCCACAGGTCGAGTATTTACCTGATTTGAGTGGATTTCACGTGCGATTAGTTTTGATAACAATAACGAGATTGAATTTTGTCGAAAAGGTAATAATACAAAAATTGCTTCAAATGTTTCCCAAGAATGTTGACAATTTTTACTAACTTTAAGCTTGATGGAGTTGGAAAAAGTTTTCTGTGGCACGGAATCCCCGCTTCATATCCATTTTCGAACGCAAAAACAAAACATCAAGAAGCTTACACACCAGATTTAGTTTTTTTACAATCGAAAATCGGGGGTTTAAGTCTCCGATTTATTTGACTTCGTTTTGATAGTATTAAGCGTTTTCAGCCTACAAAAAATTAGCAGTCTGTATCAAGCGGAGCGCAAAAATGAATAAAAAAGAATCGTGTAAATGGCTGCGTGACCCGTCAGCCCATTAAAAAGGTCACAGACACAGGACACAGCGGCAGGATCCACTTCACCCTTACGCACGTGACCAGAAACCTTAAAAAATATTAAATTTGTGAAAAGGGAAACCACCGCATGACAGACGGATACGGTGGCAATGTGGAGTCCCACCTGATGGCAGTCTGGTGGAGGCTTCAGCCTTTTTATGCATTTCATTTTCGTACAGATAATGAAGTTAATTTCCCACAGAGAGAGAGAGAGAGAGAGAGCCTGAGATGCTTAAAAAATGCACAGAATCATTATATTTAAGATGATTTTCGAAGATTTACGGATCCGAGCGTTGGACCAACAAAAACTTTTGTGGCCCTTCCTATTGAAAAACTTTTTAAAAGGCATTAAGTTCGTTGTAATCGGGCGCACCCGGAAGAGAACGCCAGCGCCTGGCTTGCTTCTTGCACATTTAGTTAACGTATTCGCAGCTCCTACAACGTTTGCATATTAATAATGTTTGCCGGCACGGCCAACTCATGTTTGAGTTTCGCCAGGATGGGGGTGAGTGAGTCGCTGATGGGACTGTCTGGCTGAGGTTTCTGGTTCGGCACGTGCCAGCAGGCCAGGTACGGATCGGAGCTGAAGCTGGAAGTTCATTTACACGCCGGCCTGGCCGGCCGCTCATTAATTGCACCGCAAAGAAGGTAGGGCGTGGCTCATAACTGTTGGCCAAAGGGTTGACTTATGCTCGCCAGGAATCAGTGGCACTCGAAATGCCTGTCACGTTTGCCGCTGGGTTGACAGTTAATGCCACAAAGAACACGCTGGTGACAGACCAATTGTCGCGGCAGGCCCGTTGATGATGTTGCAGTTCTGCTTGAATGAAATTAACAATTTAAGATTGATCCTTCAGTTGGTTAGTCCTTTGTGTCTTCAATGTTTGACTTCGCCTTTCAACGAAGCTGAAAAACTCATCGTAATTTCACTTAATTTTGTATGAATAAATTAAAAATCCAAGCAGAAAAGACATTACTCTGCTTCGTAGCTTGTTACTCTCACCAACTACGAGTACCCACAGCATCACATACCCACGCACCCACCCACACACATACACACACACACACACACACACACACAAGCACACGCAAACTGCGTGCCGCACTTCCGCGACACCTTCTGCGGTCTAACGGTTTTGTATTTTGGCAGGGAGGCAACGCTTCGGATGCGTGATTTGTGTGTCTTATCAATCACGACTAATGGAATTTCTTTCGCTCCCCGGCCACATGCTAGTCCTTGACTGAGGACCAAGTTCGCTCATAATTTGTAATAAGTTGGCCAAGAATACGACCTTAAATTGAAAAGTTTTCCAATGTCCTTTGCCCCAATACGAGTACGGGTACGAGTGCATGTGCGAAAATATATATATTTCACTTTTTGAATTTATGATTAGCATTGCGCCCTTACACAGACTCCAAAATCAGGGCCGCGTATGGTTCCAGGGAGAGATTACTCAGGGTAACGCTGTCGCTGCAGAGGGAAAGTCATTATATTAGTGGAAATATTAGATGATAATGGGTGAGAGCTTACCCCACAGATGCCTGGGCCTGGGGATTGGACAACTTGATCTTGTAGTTGCCGGAGGCATACAGTGGACCGCCCACATCCACACCCGTGACCTTGGTGTCCAGCACATTGGCCACGAGCACTAAGGTGGCCTCTCCACTCAGCGATCGCTTGATGGCCAGCACATTGTCGCCCACATTGGCATACCTGGTGGAGCCAAGCTGCAGTGTCTTCAGCTGACGCAACTGGGTCAGCTGCTTGTACAGGCTGAGATGGCTGGGGGTGGTGGCGTTCTCCGTCTTGGCGTTTACGGTCTTGTAGTTGGGATTGATCGGCAGCCAGGTGCTGGCGTTGGTGGAGAAACCGGCGTTTTCTTCATCGCTCCACTGGAATGGAGTTCGCACAGGATCGCGTGAGAACTGCTCGTAGATATCTGCGTTGGAGTTGCAGCCCGCCGGATCGCGTGAGTCCTCCCAGCTAATATAGAGGTCTGTCATGCCCAGCTCCTCGCCCTGGTAGGTGATGCTCACGCCAGGCAGGAACATCTGCAGCATGTTCATCAGGTCAATGCGATCCTCGCCAAAGCGAGTGCCCACCCGACTCCGATCGTGGTTGCCCATCTAAACAAGTATTCAAACAAGTCATTATAAGCGTTTGAATAATTTTTGAGCGTGGAGGAACACTTACCACCCAGTTTGCCGTCTTTCCGGCCGGCATCTGTCCCAGCCAACTATTGATGATCTTCACATACCCAACTGCAGTGAGATTGGTATTATCCCATTGGCCATTGCCGCCCACAATGAACTGGAAGTTGAATGGAATCTCAGCTCCTTTGGCTGTGCGATTGCCATAGAACTGCATAACGTAGTCCAACTCAGAGTACGTCTCCACCATAATGATACGCGTGTCTCCTCCATGGATGCGCTGGTAATCATCCAAGAGGGTTTTCCACTGAAAGACCATCTCTACCGTTTCGCGCAGGTCCTGGGTGTGGATGTGCGTGAGGTACGCATCATTGTCGGGATCGTCTGAGGTGCCGCTCAGGGGCTCGTCTGGATAGCGTCCGTTGGCATCGGGCAGTGACTCAAAGCACCAGGCGACGGCATCCATGCGGAAACCAGCGACGCCCCGATCTAGCCAGTAGGTCAGCACACGTTTCATTTGAGCCACCACAAGAGGATTTCGGTAGTTGAGATCGGGCTGCTTCACGGCAAACTGGTGAAGGTAGTACTGCTGCCTCTCCTCGTTCCACTCCCAAGCGCTGCCTCGGAAGCTTGACAACCAGTTGGATGGCGGCTCGCGCTGCCCCGTGGTCGAGTTAACATAGCCATCATGCCACATGTAGTAGTCCTCGTAGCCCTTCTCCCGATTCACTGACTTTTTAAACCAGACACTTTCGTCACTCGAATGGTTTGGCACAAAGTCCAAAATTATCTTGATATTCCGCTTTTTGGCCTCAGCTACAAGCTGGTCGAAATCTTCCAGAGTTCCGTACTCTGGCTGGATGTCGAAGAAGTCCGAGATATCGTAGCCAAAGTCCACCATGGGTGAGGCGAAAATGGGCGACAGCCAAGTGGACGTGACTCCGATCTCCTTAAGGTAATCCAGCTTCGAGATGATACCCTTCAGATCGCCAACACCATCGCCATCAGAGTCTTTGAAGGAGCGTGGGTAGATCTGATAGAACTGGGCCACTTGCCACCAGTCCCGCTTCTCCTCCGTTGTCGCCGCCGCCCTCTCTTGGAGCGGATCAAGGTTGGGATCTACGGCAGCCGCACGGCCGAGGGTGCAGTGCAGCCCCAAGAGAAGAATAGTTACCAGTAAGTTGTGTAGAAGCGTCATGACTGACTGAGAAGCCCCAATACGGGGGACCCCTTTTATAGTTCGGCCCTAAAGTGATCTGGTCGATACGCTCGAGTTCTCGTTATGAGTGTTTTTTATTTTGAGTGTTTAATTAGTCGGCAATCTGCTCACGAGTCACGAGTGGAAATATACCGGTGAGTGAGATAGGAAGCCACTTGATTCAGCCAGAGATAAGGGCAAATCTTGGAAACTCGGTTGCATGTTAACTGGTGTCACTAGGCCTTGGGCCATCTGCTTGAGCGACTTTTCCAAGAAAAATAAGAATTCGATTTCGAACTTATTTGTAAAATGGAAAATAACTGATGACTTGTAAACAAACCTGTCGTTGAATTTACCATCTTTATATTGAAGTGATCCTCTCCACGACGGAACATCAATGGGTATTGAGAACGCTTGAGTACAATATCGCGTGACTCCACACTCACGCTAACAATTACTATTGCGACTTCATTGATAGCGCTACCCGACAGATTTGGGACTTTGCAATTTTTTGATGATTTTTTATTTTCCTGCATCAAAACTTTTTCTTAAAAAATTTGTAAAAACTGATATATTTTTTTTGCTAATTTTTTTCAGTGGCAGCTTCTTTTTCACTTTAGTAAGATTACCTTTGGTTGTAATGAAGAAAAGATTATATATTTTTTTTTTATTAAGTTACTGTCAACCGTGTTGATTAGTTGAATGATTTATTTGACCTCCACGTCTGATACGGGTTAACGCCACCTCCTGTTTGTGTTCTTGAAATACTTGATTAATTGTTTTAACTTTTAAATATGATGATTGGAAGTGTATGTATGATGCTTGATATACAATTTGATATTTGCGATGAGTGTGAATTCATATGAATGAATTCATATTTGTAAGATGCGATAGGTTTGACATTTTTGAATTTTACATGTAGCAAAATTGGAACTAAATACCAAGTAAACAAGCATTGCTTTGTGATATAAAAAATGGGGTTCATTTAAAAAAAAAATCGTAGTGTTGGCATTCTTTGAACAATTTGATTTATTAGTAGATTATTTTGCTAAGAATAGTTGCCGCTAAAAAGTTCATGTCTGAAAATAAAAACATACTCAACTTTGATTCGCTGTATGTTCAGGGCCAGCAACTTTTCAAGCGGTAAAATGTGATTTTCGGAGGGTTGGCCAACCAATGAACAATACCTTAAACGACGCCTAATTAATAAAACTATGCATACAAAATTCGAAAACACAGTATTTAATTTTTTTTCCGACTTTAGTTTTTCAAAATTGGCAAAGTTTTTTGCAACCAGATGTAAGATAATTAAGTTGTGTGCAAAAAACAGCTCTGAAAATAGCTTTCAAAAAAATACCCGTCTTTTAAAATTCTTTAATAAAGTTCTGCCTTAAAGAGAAAACGCTAAATATTTATAAAAATGTAAAACCCCAAATCTATCAGAAAAAGTCGGTTTGGTTACTGGGTGAAAAGAAAAGTTCGATTTTGAAGAGTAGTGTAGTTGGCGGATTGAATTGCTTCTTTTTGCTGTAGATTTTGTGGGGTTCGAATTTAAGCATCTAACATGAGTTTCTTCCATATTGTCGAACATTGAACTCGGAACTCTACTGTCATCATTTGGAGCTCTAAATTAAGCGACCAGAATTGTCTCTAGCAGATCGGTGGTTACCGTATAATTCGGACCTGGCACGGCCGTCCAAATATGCATATTTGTCATTTAAGCACGAGGCTTATACTTATGAGTGTGAAATGATGAAGCCAACCCAAGCAGTATTATGAAAATATTCATTTTTTTCCTCAACATAATACATATATTTATATCTTTGCGTCTTTGATACTCTATACAGACTCCAAAATCAGAGCCGCGTATGGTTCCAGGGAGAGATTACTCAGGGTAACGCTGTCGCTGCAGAGGGAAAGTCATTATATTAGTGGAAATATTAGATGATAATGGGTGAGAGCTTACCCCACAGATGCCTGGGCCTGGGGATTGGACAACTTGATCTTGTAGTTGCCAGAGGCATACAGTGGACCGCCCACATCCACACCCGTGACCTTGGTGTCCAGCACATTGGCCACGAGCACCAAGGTGGCCTCGCCACTCAGCGATCGCTTGATGGCCAGCACATTGTCGCCCACGTTGGCATACCTGGTGGAGCCAAGCTGCAGTGTCTTCAGCAGACGCAACTGGGTCAACTGCTTGTACAGGCTCAGATGGCTGGGGGTGGTGGCGTTCTCCGTCTTGGCGTTTACGGTCTTGTAGTTGGGATTGATCGGCAGCCAGGTGCTGGCGTTGGTGGAGAAACCGGCGTTTTCCTCATCGCTCCACTGGAAGGGCGTTCTGCCAGGGTCGCGTGTAAATTCCTCGTAGATATCTGCGTTGGAGTTGCAGGCCGACGGATCACGCGTGTCCTCCCAGCTGATGTCAAGGTCTGTCATGCCCAGCTCCTCGCCCTGGTAGGTGACACTCACGCCGGGCAGGAACATCTGCAGCATATTCATCAGGTCAATGCGATCCTCGCCATATCGACTGCCCACTCGACGCTGATCGTGGTTGCCCATCTAAACGTAAATACCGCATTCAGAAGCTTGCGAATCGATTGAAAGAGTGCTAGAACACTTACCACCCAGTTCGCCGTCTTTCCGGCCGGCATCTGTCCAAGCCAACTATTGATGATCTTCACAAATCCAACTGCAGTGAGCTTGGTATTGTTTTTATCCCCATTGCCGCCCACAATGAACTGGAAGTTGAATGGAATCTCAGCTCCTTTGGCTGTGCGATTGCCATAGAATTGCATAACGTAGTCCAACCCAGAGTACGTCTCCACCATTATGATACGCGTGTCACCCCCATGGACGCGCTGGTAATCGTCGAACAGTGTCCTCCACTGAAAGACCATCTCTACCGTTTCGCGCAGGTCTTGGGTGTGGATGTGCTTCAGGTACGCCGAGTTATCGGGATCATCCGTGTATCCGCTCAGGGGCTCGTCTGGATAGCGTCCGTTGGCATCGGGCAGTGACTCAAAGCACCAGGGAACGGCATCCATGCGGAAACCGGCGACGCCCCGATCTAGCCAGTAGGTCAGCACACGTTTCATTTGAGCCACCACAAGAGGATTTCGGTAGTTGAGATCGGGCTGCTGCACGGCGAACTGGTGGAGATAGTACTGCTGCCTCTCATCGTTCCATTCCCACGCACTGCCACGAAAAGCCTGAATCCAGTTGGAGGGCGGCTCGCGCTGCCCCGTGGTCGAGTTAACATAGCCATCGTGCCACATGTAGTAGTCCTCGTAGCCCTTCTCCCTTTTGACTGACTTCTTAAACCAGATCACTTTCGTCACTCGAATGGTTTGGCACAAAGTCCAAAATTATCTTGATATTCCGCTTTTTGGCCTCAGCTACAAGCTGGTCGAAATCTTCCAGAGTTCCGTACTCTGGCTGGATGTCGAAGAAGTCGGAGATATCGTAGCCAAAGTCCACCATGGGGGAGGTGAAAATGGGCGACAGCCAAGTGGCCGTGACTCCGATCTCTTTAAGGTAATCCAGCTTCGATATGATGCCCTGCAGATCGCCAACGCCATCGCCATCAGAGTCCTGGGGCGTGGGTAGTCTGTGCGGGCCCTGCCCCAGTCCCGCCTCCCCGTGTCGCCGCCGCCCCTCTTGGGCGTCAAGGCTGGGTTACCCCGCCGGGGTGCAGTGGAGCCCCAAGAGGAGAATAGTTACCAGTAAGTTGTTTAGAAGCGTCATGACTGACTGAGAAGCCCCAATACGGGGGCCCCCTTTTATAGTTCGGCCCCAAAGTGATCTGGTCGACGATACGCTCGAGTTCTCGTTATGAGTGTTTTTTATTTAGAGTGTTTAATTAGTTGACAAGCTGCTGAATCACTGGTGGGTGAGATAGAGCGCCACTTGAGCCAACCAGAGATAAATACCGAGTACCGGCAGCTGATGAATTTCTCCGTTGGTGGCATAACCATAGTACGAGGAGGTTGACTGAAGGACAAGTGAATCCTTGGGTTGCAATTGCACTGAGGTGGAATTGATGAGATCGCTGGCAGGGAAAAGCATTGAATTAGTTATGAGTTTAGTAACTATAAAGGTAGAAAGAACCTACCCCACTTTGACCTTGGAGCGCTCTGTGACCAGCACAACTTTCAGCTGTGCGGGAATATCTGCGAAACTCTGCTGCAGGTTGACTGTCTCCACTCCATCGTAGATATTCAGCAGAGTCACAAATGTGTCGTCATGTTGAAGGTATCTGCAGAGAATCTTTCATTACTATTGAACCAGATTGATCAAAGAGTTGACTCACCTTTTCAAAGCCAAAACAGCGTCACTCAGGGCCTTCACCTCAGTGTCTCCCCGTTGCAGGGTATTCGCCTGCTTTCTCAGCGTCCACAGCTGTTTGTAGACATTCAGGTGGCTCAGAGGCTGGGTCTTTTCCAGATCCACGTTGATCTGCCTGTAATCCTCCCCAATGGGAAGCCAGGTCTTGCTGGCATTGCTGAATCCCGCATCAGTGGCGTCGCTCCATTGAAAGGGAGTGCGTTCCGGATCGCGTGAGAACTGTTCGTAGATGCTTGGGTTGCTGTTGCAAGCGGAGGGATCGACGGTGTCCTTCCAGGAGATCCACACATCTGTCATCCCCAGCTCCTCGCCCTGGTAGGTCACACTAGCTCCGGGCAGAGTGGCAATCAGCATGTTCAGCATATCAACACGATCTCTGCCCAGCCGGGAGCCCACTCGCGGCTTGTCATGGTTGCCAAGCTGGGAACACAAAACAGATAAGGAACATTTGGGTACAGTCACAGAGGGAGGTTCACTCACCACCCAATTGGCCGTGCGGCCGTTGGGCATATGCTGAAGCCACTTCTGCACAGTGCTGGCATAGTCCCCGGCTTTGGATGAGTTCGTCAGCTCACTTATCAGCAGAAAGTTGAACGGCAGCTGAGCGCCCTCGGCCGTGGCATTGCCGTAGTACTGCATCACGATATCGATGGGTGAATAGGTCTCGGCCATTAAGATGCGCTCCTCGCCACCGTGCACCCGCTGGAACTCATCCAGCACCGCACGCCACGAGTAGACGAGGTCAATCGTCTCGGGCTGATCGACGGTGTAGATGTGCTGCAGATAGCCGTAGTCGTCGGGATCATTGTCCCAGTTGTTGCGCGGTTCATCGCGGTACTGATTCTGTGCATCCGGCGCTATCTCAAAGACATGCGGCACGGCGTCGATACGAAAACCGGAGACGCCCTTGGCCAGCCAAAAGCGCAGTACATTCTGAAAGGTAACCAAATGTTATGAGGACATCTGGACATAATTCATGATATCCACTCACATTCATGGCCTCCCGCACTTTCGGATTGCGATAGTTGAGATCCGGCTGTTTCTTCACAAACTGATGGAAATAGTACTCCTGTCGCCCCTCGTGCCACTGCCAGGCGGAGCCACGGAACACGCTGATCCAGTTGCTCGGGGGATGGCGAGTGCCGTTTACCATGCGCCCAGGATGCCACACATAGAAGTCCTTGAACTCTGGATCCCTGGCCGCAGAGCGCTTGAACCACTCGCACTCGTCGCTCGAATGGTTGGGCACAAAGTCGAGAATTATTTTGATATCCAGCTGCTGGGCCACCTTCATCAAATTCTCGAAATCTGCCATGGTCCCAAAGATGGATGCTATCTCCGTAAAGTTGGCAATGTCATAGCCAAAGTCGGCCATGGGCGAGGTGAAGATCGGCGACAGCCAGGTGGCCGTGATACCCAGCTCTTTGAGGTAAGACAGCCTCTCCGAGATTCCTGCGCAAATGCAATCGAATTATTGGCACGCCTCTCTCTCTCTCTCTCTTTCACTATATTCTCACCATTCAGGTCGCCTACGCCGTCGCCGTTGCTGTCCTTAAATGACCTTGGATAGATCTGATAAAAGGCCCCCGTCTGCCACCACTTTAGCTCCGCTGGCTGCTCATCGATGTCCACGAAATCCGCGTGGTAATTGGGAAAGGGCTGCCCGTGCACCACTGCTATAAGCTGCAGCAGCCCCAGAGCCACAGCGGCCAAGCGGTGCGTAATCATCATCGTTGAACTGTCTGAGAACAGATTTGCTAAATTGTATTACTAATCTAATGAACAAACAAACAGCCAAAAGCGACTGGGGGATCCGATCGAGTGCCAAACATATTTATACAACACAGAATTGTGTAAAGAGGAAGAGAGCGATTGCACTCTTGCTCGCTTTGCATGCGTTTAGCGGGAGAGCAAAATACAGTGCACTCTCCATAAAGTGACTGGTGGATCTGATCGAGTGCCAAACATATTTATACAACACAGAATTGTGTAGAGAGGAAGAGAGCGATTGCTTGCTCGCTTTGCATTCGTTTAGCGGGAGAGCAAAGTACAGTGCACTCTCGATAGAGTGGAAATGTGAAGGGACTCAACCGACTGCGAAAATAGCTAAGTCAGCAAAAAGATCATATTAGCCTTCATTATGACGAATATGTCTTTTCAAAACGTTCTTTCGAGCGTGCACTGTACTTGAATATTTTTAAACTGCGCAGCAGAGCAAGGAAGGATAGAGAGAGAGAGAGAGACATGGGGTTGATGCCGAGAGACCATTTCCTACACTGAGCGACAAAATTCTATTTATCGGCAGATTGAGTCAGTTTATTAAATAAGTTTACACTACATATGTACAAACATATATTTGCTATGTATGCATGGGGATTAGTTAGTACATATGTACACATATACATATATTAATGTAGGCCACTGACTGCGAGCTGAGATCCAAGCCTCGGTACACACATAAATTACAATAACTGTGCTCGTTAAATTCTTGTACTGTACTTTTTCTCCTCTTTGCTTTGCTTGTCCATCCTTTTTTTTCCGCAGCATCGCAACTTGTTGGAGTTCGACCATTTCATACACTGAGTGACAAATTTATATTTATCGGCAATTGAGGTTTTTGCATATAAATTTACAAGTTCTGTTGTGTTAGTTATTGTATTAAATAAATATATAAAACAAACATATGTATGTAAATATGTATGCAAGGAGATTTGTTGATTTGTTGGTATAATTAACATTATACGAGCTGTAGGGCTAAGTTCGGTACGCATACAAATTACAATAACTGTGTTCGTTGAATTCTTGCACCTTTTGCAAATACATTTATAATTTCTGTGGTGTTAGTTATTGTATTAAATAAAAATATAAAACATACATATGTATGTATGTAAATATATACATATGCATGGAGATTTGTTGGTATAATTAACATTATACGAGCTGTAGGGCTAAATTCGGTACGCATATGTACATATGTATAAATTTGAATAGCTGTGTTCTTTGAATTCTTTTACTTTACTTTTTCTCCTCTTTGGCTTGTACATCCTTTTCTTCGCAGCACCACAACTTATTGGAGTTCGACCATTTTATATACCGACTGACAAATTTATATTTATCGGCAGTTGGGGTTATTGCAAATAAATTTATAAGTTCTGTTGTGTTAGTTATTGTATTAAATAAATATATAAAACATACATATGTATGTAAATATGTATGCATGGAGATTTGTTGGTATAATTAACATTATACGAGCTGTAGGGCTAAATTCGGTACGCATATGTATGTACATATGTATGTATAAATTTGAATAGCTGTGTTCGTTGAATTCTTTTACTTTACTTTTTCTCCTCTTTGGCTTGTCCATCCTTTTCTTCGCAGCACCACAACTTATTGGAGTTCGACCATTTCGTACACTGAGTGACAAATTTATATTTATCGTCAGTTGAGGTTTTTTCAAATAAATTTATAAGTACTGTTGTGTTAGTTTGATTAAATAAATATATAAAACATACATATTTATTTAAATATTATGGAAAACACCCCCCCCTCTCCCCACCCAACTATGAAGCGACCATTTCTTTTTTTTTTTTTTTTTGTGTTAGTTTTTGTATTAAATAAATATATAAAACATACATATGTATGTAAATATGTATGCATGTAGATTTGTTAGTATAATTAACATTATACGAGCTGTAGGGCTAAATTCTGTACGCATATAAATTAAAATAACTGTGTTTGTTGAATTCTTTTACTTTACTTTTTCTCCTCTTTGCTTGTCCATCCTTTTCTGCCGCATCACCGCAACTTATTGAAGATCGACCATTTCGTACACTGAGTGACAAATTTATATTTATCGTCAGTTGAGGTTTTTTCAAATAAATTTATAAGTACTGTTGTGTTAGTTTTTGTATTAAATAAATATATAAAACATACATATGTATGTAAATATGTATGCATGGAGATTTGTTGGTATAATTAACATTATACGAGCTGTAGGGCTAAATTCTGTACGCATATAAATTAAAATAACTGTGTTCGTTGAATTCTTTTACTTTACCTTTTGTCCTCTTTGCTTGTCCATCCTTTTCTGCCGCTGCACCGCAACTTATTGAAGTTCGACCATTTCGTACACTGAGTGACAAATTTATATTTATCGTCAGTTGAGGTTTTTTCAAATAAATTTATAAGTACTGTTGTGTTAGTTATTGTATTAAATAAATATATAAAACATACATATGTATGTAAATATGTATGCATGGAGATTTGTTGGTATAATTAACATTATACGAGCCGTAGGGCTAAATTCGGTACGCATACAAATTACAATAGCTGTGTTCGTTGAATTGTCGTACTTTACTTTTTCTCCACCCTGCATTTCCATTCCTTTTTATCACAGAATCGCAACTTCTTGGAATTAAAACCACAAAAAATCTGTGGGTTGCAAGTGAATCTGTTACTTTGATAAATCATACAGTATGTGGAGCATTATGTTTATTGAACAAAGCAAGTACATACATATGTGTACATATGTATTAAACCATAGTTGTTGACCGCAGCACAATGGCTTCGTGGGGCATGAGGGTGACACTGCTAGCCGAGATCTGATCGCCCACCTGCTTGATGGATTTATCTGTGACCAGGGCGTACTGGAATTTGGCGGGAAGTCCACCGAACACCTTCGTTAGATCCACATTCTCGATGGAGTCGAAAACGTTGAACAGCGAAATGTAGACGTAGTTGCCGCTCAGGTAACTAGAATTTAGAACATCTTGTTATCGATTCATTACTTAGATCAGGAGGTCAGGAGACTCACCGCTTGACGGCCAGGACGTAGTTGTTGACGGCCTTGATTTCGGCAGAGCCCTCTTCGATGGTGGGCTCCTTGCGGAGCTGCTGCAGCCGCTTGAAGATGTTCAGGTGGCTGAGAGAGACTCCGCGCTCGGACTTCACGTTGTCGTGGGCGTAGTCACCGCCCACTGGCAACCAAGTGCTCGATGCGGTGGTGAAGCCGGCCATATTCTCGTCAGACCACTGCATCGGGGTACGTGCGGGATCGCGAGAGTTGTCCATGTAGGTCTCCTCGTAGCCGTTGCAGGCCTGCGGGTCCACAGTGTCCTCCCAGGACACGTAGCCATCGAGCATGCCGATCTCCTCGCCGTTGTAGGTTATACTGCAGCCAGGCAGCGTCAGCAGCAGGATGTTGAAGAGGTCGATGCGGTCGGCACCGAAGCGGGAGCCTACACGGTTCTTGTCATGGTTACCAATCTGATCGGATGATTACATATGTATGTGTCATCCATTGAATGTCATGCAAGTGCGGGTCGAGTCTTGTAAAAGCACTTACCACCCAGTTGGCGCTCTTGCCAGCTGGCATCTGGTTCAGCCAGTTGTTAATCAGGTATTCGTAGTGATAGGCATCGGAGTCGTAGTGCAGGTTGCTAATCAACTGGAAGTTGAACGGTATCTGTGCGCCCTCGGCCGTGGCATTGCCATAGTAGTCCATGACGATCTCAATGGGGGACCAGGTCTCCACCATGAGGATGCTACGGCAACATACAGATTTAAATAAATAGATTTCGCTACGAGGAGACAACCACTTACCGCTCATCGCCACCATTGTCGGCTTGGAACTGTTCCAGGATCTGACGCCATTCGTATCTGTAAGTAAATATTAAAATATCGTTAGCTTTGCGATGCTCTAACTATTTCTCCCCACAGAGCTGCACTTACACCAAGTGAGGGGTCTCTGGCTGATCCACGGTGTAGATTTTGTGTGTGTAGCCATACTCATCGGGGTCATTGGTCCAATCGTTGCGGGGCTCATCGGGATAGTTGCCATTCTCGTCCGCCTCAATCTCAAAGGCATGGTAGATGGCGTCCACGCGGAAGCCGTCCACACCCTTCTCCAGCCAGAAGCGAAGGACATCGTTCATCTCCTCGCGCACCACAGGATTACGGAAATTAAAGTCGGGCTGCTTCTTGTGGAACTGGTGGAGGAAGTACTCCTGGCGGCCCTCATGCCACTCCCAGGCCGAGCCGCGGAACACGCTCACCCAGTTGGTGGGGGGAGTGCGCTGCCCGTTGGCATCAACGAAGCCGGGATGCCAGATGTAGTAGTCCTTGTACTTCTCCTCGCCAGCAGCAGAGCGGATGAACCAGTCGCATTCATCGCTGGAGTGATTGGGCACGAAATCCAGGATGATCTTCACATTCAGCTCCTTGGCACGGGCGACCATGTTTTCAAAATCCTCCATGGTGCCGAAGAGTGGATCCACTTCCTTGAAGTCGGAAATGTCATAACCAAAATCGGCCATGGGGGATTTGAGGAACGGCGACAGCCAAGTGGCCGTCACGCCGATCTCCTTCAGATATTCCAATTTCTCTGTGACGCCATTCAAGTCACCGATTCCATCACCATCGGTGTCCTTAAAGGATCGCGGATAGATCTGATAGAACGAGGCTGTCTTCCACCAGGGAGTGGCCGCATCGACGGCCAGCAGGCCAAGGCCGATCAACAGTAATAGGCTTGTACAAGTAGTCATTGTTAACTGAAGCTGGTACGATTGTAATACGTTTCTTATATACGAAACGATTACCCCAATGATAGCGCCCCAGCTATAAACTATTGGGCATTATGCCTTATCATTTATGACTTTCAACTGGAATGTTTCACGTAAATAATCGAATATCACCAGCAGAGAGAAATATATGAGGAGACCTTTGACTGGAAGAATGGCGTATGAAGGAAACACAGTTGAGTCAGGCGCTGGACCAAGGAAAAACCTGCTAAAGGGAATCCAAATGGATGGGAGGAATATGCGAGCTGGAAGGACCCCCTATGACCTACACTTCCTTTGCTTCAGTTAGCTAATCTCATACCTTATCGCAACCTTGAACCCCCCAAGAGAGTCGTCTTCGATTTAACCATACTCCATATTGAAAAATCCCCCCAGGAGTGACACAATAAATTTTTCATTCCAAAAAAAAAACTGTAAGATTAGATATGCATCTAAGTCTGAAATTAGAAAGTCAGTCTATGCAACTCTCACTTTTGGCTGCCAATCTGTCTCATGATCTCTGAACGTGAAACCTCACCGGGCGCTGCTGCCAATAAATACCAAAGCTTGTTATCATATGAACATGGTCGCTATCAGGACAACAACGAAGCCGAAAACATTTCGCTAGTCGAAATGAGCCATAAATCTGCCAATGGCACACAGCTAATCAGAAATAGTGGGCTATATGTTGGTATATGGGGGGCCCTCACACGGGCCAAGTTATCATTAATACGGCGATTGGGTCTACCGGGGCTGGTGTGCATAAATAGGGGCAACTTGTAATCCCATTGGACATTGGCAATCGATCGAAATGGGCGCACTGGTCAAAATTCTGACGCTCTCCTGTCTGCTGGCCCTCACGCTGCCCACGTTGGCTGAGGTGGGCTGGTGGAAATCGGCCCAGTTCTATCAGATCTATCCCAGATCCTTCAAGGACAGCGACGGCGATGGTGTGGGTGATATCAATGGTGAGTGTTGACTGTTGTTGTTGAGAACTGATTTCTCAACTGATTTTTCGTCACAGGCATTACACAACAGTTGGCTTATCTGAAGGAGATCGGCATTACGGCCACTTGGCTTTCGCCGATCTTCACCTCGCCCATGGCTGACTTTGGCTATGATGTGGCCAATCTCACCGATATCGATCCCATCTTCGGCACAATGGAGGACTTTGAAAATCTTTTGGCACGCGCCAAGGAGCTGGACATTAAGATTATCCTGGACTTTGTGCCCAACCACACTAGCGATGAGTGCGACTGGTTTGTTCGGTCTGCGGCTGGTGAGGAGGAATACAAGGACTTCTATGTGTGGCACACCGGCAAGGTGGTGAACGGCATTCGACAGCCACCCACCAACTGGATTGGCGTGTTCCGTGGCTCCATGTGGACGTGGCACGAAGGTCGTCAGGCCTACTACCTGCACCAGTTCCATGCCAAGCAGCCGGATCTCAACTATCGCAACCCCAAGGTGGTGGAGGCCATGAAGGATGTCCTCCGTTTCTGGCTGCGCAAGGGTGCCTTCGGTTACCGCATTGATGCCGTGCCCCATGTGTACGAGGTGCCCGCTGATGCGGATGGCAACTGGCCCGACGAGCCCCGCAACGAGTACTCCAACGATCCCGAGGACTACGGCTACCTGCAGCACATCTACACCACCGACCAGCCGGAGACCATCGAGCTGGTGTACGCTTTCCGCGAGGTGATCGAGGAAATCGACCAGGAGCTGGGCGGCGACGATCGCATTCTGCTGACCGAGGCCTACTCCCCACTCAACATCCTCATGCAGTACTACGGCAACGGAACCCATCTGGGTTCGCAGATCCCCTTCAACTTCAACCTGCTGGCGAACATTGGCTTCAACTCGGACGCCTACCACTACTCGGAGCTGATCCACAACTGGCTGGACAACATGCCCGAGGGCCAGGTGGCCAACTGGGTGTTTGGCAACCACGACCAGAGTCGCATTGGCTCCCGCTTGGGCGCCGATCGCATCGATGCCTGCAACATGATTGTGCTAACCCTGCCCGGAATCAGCATTACCTACCAGGGCGAGGAGATGGGCATGACGGACGTCTACATCAGCTGGGAGGACACTGTGGATCCTCAGGCCTGCCAGGCCAACGAGGAGGACTTTGAGAGCCACACCCGCGACCCAGTGCGTACTCCCTTCCAGTGGAGTGACGAGAAGAACGCTGGCTTTAGCGACGCCCCATCCACCTGGCTGCCCGTGGCCCTGGACTACAAGCTGGTCAATGTGAAGCGGGAACGCGGCATTGCCCTGAGCCACCTGAACGTCTACAAGCAGCTGCGTGCCCTGCGCGATGAGCCCACTCTGAGGCAGGGAGATGTCACCGTCAACGCCATTGGTCCCAATGTGCTGGCCTTCAAGCGGTGAGTGGGTGGAGAGGCCTCTGGGATTCATTTTTTTTACTAATCTCTCCCACTCTTTTTAATGGATCAACAGCTCCCTGGCTGGCCAGAAGTCCTACATCACTGTCATCAACATCAACGATGATGTTGAGTCGATCAATCTGGACTCGGTATTCACCTCAATCTCCTCGCAGCTACAGTACGTTGTGGTGAACGACAAGAGCGTCCGTCGGAAGAAGTAAGCCGAAGCAGTTCTCTAATCCTTAACCCATACTAATACTAACCCATTTCCGTATTTCACAGCGATCTGACTTTCGCCAACTCTGTGCTGCTTATGCCCAAGGAAGCTGTCGTGCTCAGCACAGTCTAATAGCTTAAATACACAAATAATAATAAAAATCATTTAAAATATAAACTTTAGTCGTTCCTCTTTATGGTTGGACCCTACACCAGCGGCTTATCTTTATGGACGCCCCACGCACTTTAATATAATCAATGATTAGACGCTCATTGAATTTATGAGTCAATTAGGCAAGATAGTGGATCTAAAGATTACCATTTCCCACGACCGATAGCTCTTTGGCGCCCTAGAAGTGGTCACAAGATCGGAAGATTGGCATCAACAGATTCTAGCTACAATCGAATCGATTGCATAAGTTCAAAGTACTTAAACGGATCTCAAGTGGTTTTTGTTTACAATTCACTTGGGTAATTGGCCTTCAATAAAAAAGCCCCACAGGCTGATGTATTTCGCACTGTTTAACTTTATGAGGCGACTCCAAGGGACCCCTGGCACCACTGATTAAGAACAAACCATTGAAAAACGTTTCATTAATGTAGATTATTGTTTATTGCTATTTATTGTTAGAGGGTCGGGTTCAGCTCAGGCGAGCCAGCGTAGGACGACAGCTTCGTAAGGCATAAGCAAAAATCGTGTCCTCAAATCAACGGTTTGCCTATGCGAGAACAGAAACAGAAAAATTAAATCATAAAGAGGATGATAAATAATTAGAGAATAAGATCCTACCCTTGATAGTGCGGAGAGTAGGCAGTGGTGAGGACATACTCAAAGACCTTGTCGGCCAGGCCATCGAATTGTTCTATACCGTTGCCCATGTTGACCAGAATGCGATACTCCTCACTGTACCTGTTTGTTCTGCAGTGGAAATAAATTCGATGATCACTTGGATACATATTAAAATTGGTTTCCCTTACCGTATGATCTGCAAGACTTGCTCTGTGATTGCCTCATAGGAGAAACCGCCCTCCTGCTTGAAGGACTGGAAAGCGGAGCTGCTCTTCAGCGCCTGCATACCCTTGAAGATGTTGAGAGATGATCGCGCCACTCCCCGCTCCGTCTGCACATTGAAGCGCTCATAGTCGGGATTGAGGGGCAGCCAGGTGCTCTCCCCCTGCGTGAAGTCGGCATTCTGGCCGGCTGTCCACTGCATGGGTGTGCGCTCGCCATCCCGGTCTTCACAGGAGTCGCCGGTGCACTCCACATCCACATTGGACATGCCAATCTCCTCGCCGTAGTATGTGATGGATGCACCGGGCAGAGCACTCACTATCACGTTCAGCAGATCCACCTTGTGGGCGCCCATGCGATCGGCCACCCGATTCGTGTCGTGGTTGCCTATCACCCAATTGGCTGTTTGGTGCTCCGTCCACATGGTGTTCATCCAGTAGTCGATGGAGTTCACCACATCCCGCGCATTGGAGTAGCCGCTGAGGTACATCAGCTGGAAGTTCATGGGCAGCTGGGTGCCCAAGTGGGTGCCATTTCCGAAGTACGCGCTGAGCGTCTCCACGGAGGAGAAGGCCTCGGCCAGCAGAACTCTGGAGTCGCCGCCATTGTCGGCACGGTACTGGTCGAGGAAGGCACGCCACTCGTACATCAATTCCACAGTGGCGGGCTGATCCTTGGTGTAGATATGGTCGTGGTAGTCGTAGGCGTCCGGATTACTGCTCCAGCCACTGACGGGCTCATCGGAATAGGAGCCATCCGCATTGCGGTGCTCGTAGATGTGTGGCACCGCATCAATGCGGAATCCATCGACACCCCGATCCAGCCAGAACTTCAGCACGTCCAGCATATGCTCGCGCACCATGGGACTGGTGAAGTTCAGGTCCGGCTGCTTCACCTGGAACTGGTGCAGGAAGTACTGCTGTCGTGTTTCGTGCCAGGTCCACTGAGGACCGCCAAACACGCTGATCCAATTGCTGGGCGGCTCCCGTTCGCCGGTCTCCGCATTCACCCTCCCATCGTGCCACACGTAGAAGTCATCGTAGCCATCCACGCGGTTCACCGACTTGGCAAACCACTCATTCTCGTCGCTCGAATGATTGGGCACAAAGTCCAGTATGATTTTCAAACCCAGCGACTTGGCTTCCACAATCATCGCATCGAAGTCATCGAGGGTTCCAAAGATGGGATCAATGTCGAAGAAATTGGAGATGTCGTAACCGAAATCCGACATGGGCGAGGTGAAAACGGGCGACAGCCATGTGGCCGTTATGCCGATCTCCTTCAGGTAGCTGAGACGCGATGTGATGCCCTTTAGGTCGCCGATGCCGTCGCCATTGCTGTCCTGGAAGGATCGTGGATATATTTGGTACAGCGACGCGTTCTCCCACCAATCAATGTCCGTGCAGCCGGCGGTGGCCACCAGCACTGCAACCAGACAGAGATGTGACCACTTTGGCATTTCACTGCCGTTTGAGTGGTTCAAATTAATCGATTCTCGAAAAACAATTGCAGGGCATGTCGGATTTTTTCAGCTGATAAGGCCAGAAATTGCTCAGACCAATTGCTAATCTGATAACTTTTTATCGCACATTGTAGTACATACGAGAATTTGTACGATTAAAACAACTGCGTGGGTTGGGTTTTTTTTCTCACTTTCCAATTCCTGGATATGAACCATTAAACTAAGGCGGCATATCGTAAAATTCGCATACAAATTTTTAAGAACAAGAATGTTTCCAGGGGTGACGAAAGCTTCCGCAGGTTGGTCAATAAATTGCAGATTTTTATCTAGATATTATCACAGTTTGTGGTATCAATCGGGGAACCCTCCACAAGAGATTTGCCATTAAAGACTCATAACGAAAGAGAACAGCTATCGTTTCAATTATTTAATTTCGCTTACGACTTTAATGTGCTTTTAAGTAAATTAATTTGATATCCACAGTGTGCACATTTCCATAGACATTTAATTAGTGAAAATTCACAGGTGCTGTATTCATTAAAGCACAATAGCAGACATTTTGTTTGCCACAAGCCTTTCATTGACTGCCACCAAGTTTCGAAATGGTTAGCTGCTGGAAACGAGTGTTGGCTGGATTGGCATAAATAAATGCTGCCAAAGTACATCTAACCGCAAAACAGCTCTAAACGGTTTTAATTTAATTGAAATTCCCGTATTTATTCAGATTGATTTCATTTTTACACTGCTTAACTTTTAATCAGATTAATTTGATAAATTAAAACCAAACACAATTTGACTCATTATTAGGCAGATTAATTTTAATTAATGCGACTCTTTTTTCCCCACAATGCATGAGTGTCATTTGTTTTAATTGTTGTACAAATGAGAGGAATATCTGATGAAATTTTCCGGGGATTTTTTTCAACTTTTGCTTTCATATGCTATGTGTTTTAATTTAATAGGTTATTAATTTTTTAGTAGTAGTTCAGACATCTTAGATCTCATTATGAGAACTAAATTTGTTTACATTCCCAACTTTTGTTTGTATGTATTTAATTAATATATTTCTCACAGCGTTTAGCGATTATATACATCATACGACAGGGGGTATAGAGGTCAAAAAATAATCTAAAGTATTGGAAAAGTTTATTAACAAAAATTTCCTTGTTCTCGCTATCAACAAATTGATAAATTATTTTACTTTAAACGTTTAATCAGTGATAACCACGTCACTGCGTGCAGTACGAGTGTTCGTGTGAACCAGATATGAATGAATACATGTGTATGTGTATGTTCTGTCACATTTTCAATGGCCTACAATATATTATCAAGGCTACCCAGAAAATATTTCCCATATTGTTGTAGAAGGTACGTTTCCACGAAGCTTTGCGGGTAGGACTCAAAATTTTTTGCCTGTTCGCTTCCTATCAGCTGACTAATGTCCACTTCAAAGGCCCACTTAGGAAGATAGTACCTTGAAATATCTTGGAATATTACCAGCAATCAGAATCCATTTCAGAATTAGTCAATCGCTTTTACGTAAAGTCAGCCGCCTTGGAGGGCGAAAACAATGACAATTCAAGTGGCAGCATGAGAACTGCGACCACCATGAGATCTCATGCAGTGGCCGGGTGTTTGCTCAGCCATTCAAATGGCCACTCTAGGCGTTCCCGATCTCGATAGGAGCGGGCTTATCGTCGGGTATAAAAGGCAGCTAACGCCCCATAGTCCGAACAAAACCGAACAAAATGCGAACGCAGTCAGTTATAGTGTTCCTGGTGCTGGCCGCCGTTGGCCTGGCCAGAGCCACCGAGTGGTGGGAGAGTGGCAACTACTACCAGATCTATCCGCGCTCCTTCCGCGACTCAGACGGCGATGGCATCGGGGATTTGAATGGCGTCACCGAAAAGCTGCAGTACCTCAAGGATATTGGCTTCACGGGCACTTGGCTCTCACCCATCTTCAAATCACCAATGGTGGACTTTGGCTATGACATCTCGGACTTCTACCAAGTCCACCCCGAGTACGGCACCATGGAGGACTTCGAGCGTCTGATTGCCAAGGCCAAGGAGGTGGGCATCAAGATCATCCTGGACTTTGTGCCCAACCACTCGAGCGATGAGAGCGAGTGGTTCAAGAAGTCCGTAGACAGCGATCCCCACTACAAGGACTACTACATCTGGCATGATGGCAAGATCAACGAGGAGACCGGCGAGCGGGAGCCACCGAACAATTGGGGCTCCGAGTTCCGATACAGCGCCTGGGAGTGGAACGATGTGAGGCAGCAGTACTATCTGCATCAGTTCGCCGTGCAGCAGCCAGATCTGAACTACCGCAATCCGGTGGTGGTCGAGGAGATGAAGAACATCATTCGCTTCTGGCTGGCCAAGGGCGTCTCCGGTTTTCGCATCGATGCGGTTCCCTACCTATTTGAGGTGGACCTGGACCGCTACAACCAGTACCCCGATGAGCCGCTCACCAACGATACGGCTGCCTGTCCGGACCCCGACGATCACTGCTACACGCAGCACATCTACACCCAGGATCTGCCGGAGACCATCGACATGGTCTACCAGTGGCGTGAGGTGGTGGACACGTTCCAGGCGGAGCACGGTGGCGATAAGCGACTGCTCCTGACCGAGGCATACACCAGTTTCGAGAACATGATGCTGTACTACGGCGATGGCGAGCGGAATGGCTCCCACATCCCCTTCAACTTTGACTTCCTCTCGAACGTGAACAACGCCTCGACGGCGCCCACTTACGTGACGCACATCAAGAAGTGGATGGATGCCATGCCAGAGGGTGTCCACGCCAATTGGGTTCTGGGCAATCATGACAACAAGCGCGTGGCCTCCCGCTTCGGGGTGCAGCGCACGGACCTGATCAACATCCTGCTGCAGACGCTGCCAGGAAATGCCATAACCTACAACGGCGAGGAGCTGGGCATGACCGATGTATGGATCAGCTGGGAGGATACTGTGGATCCTCCGGCCTGCAACTCCGATCCCGAGCACTACTACGATCGCTCACGCGATCCGGCCCGCACACCATACCAATGGGATGCCTCTTCCAAAGCAGGTGGGTTGAACATTACCCGAAGCTCTCACCCGAAGCTGCCCTCTGTCCTCTATCCAGCGTTTTCTAATCATTACTTGTGCTCATTGGCAGGCTTCACTAGCGCCGATCACACCTGGCTGCCCGTGTCCGATGACTACAAGACGAATAATGCCCTCCAACAGCTGCGCGCTCCGCGCTCGCATCTGCAGATCTTCAAGAAGTTGGTGCGCGTCCGCAAAGAGCCGTCCTTCCGCCAGGGAGATCTGGACATACAGGCCATCGATGATGATATCATCATCTACTCGCGGTGAGTAGAGCAGCACTCTGGACTACCATCCAGTCCACTTCATCACAAATGCCTTTTTTTTATTACAGCCAAAAGAGCGACAGCGATCTGTATGTGATTGTCCTCAACCTTGGCGGAACTGCCAAGACGATTGACATAACAAAGTACTACAAGCTGGGCAGCCAGGCGGAGATTATCACCACCTCACTGAACTCTCAGCACATCGACGGAGATGTCGTCAATCCGTCAGCGTTTGTGGCCAATCCCTATGTGGGCACAGTCCTCGTGGCTGTCAACTAACAGTCGAGTAGTCGCGTTAGTGTGGAGTGTTATGTTATAAAATAAAAAGATTTTTCTTCAATTAAAATTGCTTATCAATTCACTAACATGGCCCAGAAGTATGCTATGCCCGTTGAGTTTAGCTCAGCTATATTAAGTACTATTGAAGAATTCTCTTTAGAGCAAATATTATTTAGCTGTCTCACGGCAGAGATGAACAAATAGTTCTATCTATAGTTTTTACGCCTAGGTCGCTCTCTGAGAGAAATGCCTGATTGACTCTCTCAGGTTCGCTACCTGCAAGCAACCAGGAGAACCTCAACGCGATTATGCAATAAACTGCAATACAGAGAGAGGCGCGAAAAGCAACTGTAAACTTGAGAAACAAGTCATGAAAATTGACATACACGAAAATATTTATTTATCAACTTATGATCTAATTTCTCTCCCTCAAACGGATATGAAGACCGTTTTCCGATTTGAGGGTCAGCGCGGCAGTCAGAATTGGATCGTATTTATGACGATAAGCTTCTCTCTTCACTTTCACTGCAGTGAGCAAGCCCATAGTGGTTTTAAGATAGCCATCCTTAGACTCGAGTCCATCCGCTGGGGGCAGCACCTCAAAGTTCCGAATCATTTTGGACACCACCGTCTTAATCTGCAACAAGGCGAACTTCTGGCCAATGCAGTTGCGGGGACCGGCACTGAAGGGCACATACTCAAAGGGACCTGGTTTCTCCAGCTCAAACCGCTCGGGCCGGAACTTGTGCGGATCCTTGAACACACGATCATTGTAGCCGAGCATAACGAGTGCCAAATTTAGGGTTGTGCCCTTCGGCACAAGGTTGCCATCTGCAGGAGAGAATTACAGGGTTGCAAAGCGGTTCCTGTGTGAAAAGTTTCTGCACTTACCAATTAAATGATCGGTCTCGGTATAGCGCCCGATGAATGGCACACTGGGATAGACGCGCTGGGCCTCCTTGATGAACAGATCCAAGTATTTCATTTGAGAAATTTCCTGGAAGGTTGCATCACGACCCATCCCAGAATCACCCATCACCTCGCGCTGTTCCTCGAAGAGTTTTTGTTGCTCGTCTTGATGTCTGGAGAGCAAATATAAGGCAAAAGATATTCCCGAAGTGGTCGTGTCGTGGCCTGCGAATATAAATGTGGAGACTTCCTCGTACAGCTCCTGGGACGTCAGCGGGCGACCGTCAACTGTTGCTGAGAGCAACGTATCCAGGAAGGCCATTTTCTTCCTCGAGAACTCATCGCCCTGATTTGCAGAAGCAGTCCCTTCTTTGTGGGCCTTCAAGCGCTTCTCGATGACATCGTGGGTAAAGTCGTGCAGGGTCTTAAGCGTCTTACAGTAGGCGGGATAGTCGGAGGCCAATCGATAGAGCATTTGATTGCGCTTCCACAGATGGAAGGATCTCATGTTGACGTTGACGCATATGCTGTATGAGGAGGGATCTGATGTTTAGAGAGTTGAGATGCAAAGTCGTTGAATACTTACTCCCTGAATGCTTGCGCTATTTCTGACGCTCGGTTTTCCATTGCGTTAATGGACACTCCCATGGCTGTGTTGCAAATGACGTCCAGGGTCAAGTAAGCGACATGATTCTGGATATCCAAGATACTATCTCCAGCAGACACTTTTTTCAGTAGCCGCACGAATTTGTTGGAGTATTCGTCCATCACCTTGTGAAAGTCTTGCAGGATGTTGAAGTGGAAGGAGGGCGTGATCATCTTCCGATGTTTGTGCCACTTACTGCCCGTGCTCGTGATCAGGCCCAAGCCCACCCATGGATGGGTTAGATGATAGCTTTCAGCTTTTCTTATCAGTGTCTGACTGGAGAGTATATACTGTGGAGGAAAATACGATGGATTACCTTATTTCCCTCGCATGGTGTTTTTGTTTGAAGCTCACCTCTATGAACTTGGGCTTTGTGACCAATACATTGGCGGTAGATCCTATCCAGAAGCTAATATTGTCCTTGTCATACTGGTACCACCACGCAAATAGCTGGTCGAGAGTTTCTACGGAGCGTCTGAGTTTCAGTTTCATTCAATTTGACAAAACTAATACACATATTTTACCTGTTGAATTTTTACCCATCTGATGGGCATTGCCGACGATGGGCAATCGTTTCGGCCCCTTGAACTTTTTCAGCAATTGCCTACGCCTGAATGTGCTCAACTCCTGGTAGAGCCACAGGAGCAGCGGCAGAGCCAAGAATCCATATAACACCAGCCACATTTTCAATTCCAACAATGACAGCAAGTAGTATACTGTTCAGAGCGAAATACACGGAGAATTTAGCAGTAGATTGTGCTTGGCTTCGGGCTTAAATAGGACAGCAGCCAACACGCTTCTCATTTTTCCTGCTCTCTATATCTCTCTCTCTCTGAACATCAGGTCGCAACATCGGCAGACTAGAGAGCGTTCGTTCACCGTGACTCGGCAGTTCGCTTACTTAGTGTTTCTAACGATGATAACGTGTTTGCGGCGAGCTCCGTTATTCTTAAGATCTGTTGCCATTTCGGTATACCCTTGAAGTAGGAATCATTCTCAGAACATTTATGTTTCTTTCAGGTTTAGGTAAGTATATATTTATATTAATTTTTCCTATTTATTGCTAGTTTTCTACAGCAAGCGTGTTCGTTAGCTTTAATGATATATTGCAGAAAATAATGTATCTGTTTAAGGGTATTTAGAGTATCGACTCTCGTAGGCAGTCATCTCATTGTTTTGGTTTAAAATTTGCCTCGCTAGCATTACTTTTCTTCTGTTTTGGTTTGAATTTGCTTAGGCAGCATTACCGCTTAAAATATTACCATGCAACTTTATAAGAACTCATTGCTTGCTATCTGCGAGGGTAGACACAAAAGGTCCCCCATCTAATGCAAATTTCCGAGTACGTACTCCGATATCTGAACATGTAAGAATATGGCAGTTTTTGATTAAAAAAATTTACCAAAATCCAACGCCAACGAGTAGCCACGCCCTTCGATTCCTTCTCCTCTGGCCTGTTACATATGTGTGTACACATTTACATACATAAGTAAACTAAGTATGCAAGGCAATGCACTAATTTCGCTTATCACTTATATTCAAGAGCGTGCAGCTCCACTCTCCGTAGCCCCATGCAAGCTTTTGTTTTTTAGAGGGTATGTGTTTTATATTCATTCATATGCTACACTTGTATGTAGCACTGACCTGCGCAACTGGCAAGTTGTTGTCATCTGTTCTGTTCTTTTGCCAAGCCTCAAAATATGCTACGCCCATCTGAAAAGTAAACAAAAAAATATTCTTAGAAAATGAGACATGTTGCTTGTAGATATTAATGTCAAAGCATAGGTCAGGTTACTTAGCATCTGGAGCTGAAACATGTTTATTTATCAACAATTGTCTATTTTCTCTGCCTAAAGAGGATATGAAGAGATGTGTACACACATATGTATGTATGTGCATATAAAATAGTACGTACATGTAAATATATTCCTGATTAAATTCCATTGGCTTATGTACATGTAAATATATTCCTGATTAAATTCCATTGGCTTATGTAGTTGTGTTTTTGTTTCTGTTCATCGCAAGTGTTTCTGGTATCTTCAATGCTTGCAATTAACAATCGAAATGTAGCCGATAGAGTACGTAAGATTTATTTATATATTACTTTTTGATTGTAACTAAAAACTAAACTCGGAAAACTTGTATATTATATGTTCACAAGCCAGTATAACCGATAGTTGCGATAGTTGAGTCCCCATTAACTAAAGGTATTTGCACAAATTATAATAAATTTCTTATACCACATTTTAAACTACAAGCTTATGGTTAAGGTTATGTATATTTACCCTTACGTATGAAAGATTAACATATGTACATTAGGCTGGTCCAAAATTTGACCAACCATTTTTTATACCCGTACTCAAAAAGAGTTTAGGGGTAAATTGTATTTGTGGTAAATTGGTGCACGCGGAACCCCCTAATAAATATTCTTGATCAGCATCAATAGCCGAGTCGATATAGCCATGTCGCAGTCTGGGCGTCCGTCGGAGCGCCTATATCTCAGGACTTAAGAGGTAGACATTTAGTTTCCAGCTCATGTGATATCACACTGTTCAGGTGTACAAGTTTCACAACACAAAGAACGTAAATTTGTGTCAGGCACAATTTTAAAGATACGATAAAACAAAAAGCGTGTCGGGAAGCCACCCACCTCCCCCACCCCCCCCGCCGCCGCCGCCCGTTAAGCGAGTGCCCGCTAGCGGGGAGATGTATAAGCTACATTCTACATGTATAATATACATGTTAGATGTAAAATATATTTTAGATGTAGATGTAGATAACAGATGTAGCAAAAAAAGTTAAATGTAAAATTTTTAAAATTCTACATAAATCATAAGCTCAAAAATTGATATACTGACTGAGTACCGGTATAAAAGTAGTGTCGCGTCCCCAGAAGCGACTCACACGTTCCTTCTCGTTTTTTTGTTTTTTCAAAGGGACACCCCCCAATACTGTTCTTTGTTATTCAATAAATTTATACAATTTTTTTCAAAATTTTAATTTAATGTTTTGAGGTTGCTACCACGAAAAGAAAATACACTTTTTTGGTTAAATATACATTAAAAAAAAATGTAATTCATCGGTTTTTTCAAATAATATTGAAACTTAGAAACTATTTCATATTAATAATAAGGTGGTTTTTTTTTTTTAGTTACTGTTAAAAATTAACGATTAGTGAAAATCAAGAAATTCAGCTTTGGTTGATAATAGTAACGTCGCCAATAACTGTTAATGCGTATGATGGTAGCACCAATATCCAACTCATTCAGCAAAAAAAATTTTCTTGGCTAAAATGTTTTGTAAAATTCGGTAGGTACCTCTAAAAAATTAAAAAAAATAAAAATAAAAAAACATGTAAATTACTATTAAGTCGAAGGTAACAAAACTAGGGGGTGTCCCGTTTGAATTACGAAAAATACATTTTTTTGGCCCAGCCTAATGTACATACATAGCTAGTATGTATTCAGCCGGCCATCGCGATGCATCGATCTCTCTCTCCTATGTTTATCCAAATAAATACATAATTAAACTGAGTGCTGAGTCTTTTAAATGCCACGACCAATATTCAAGCCAATATTTTAAATTCATATCCTAAAACTTTTCTTCCCAAATTATCAATTATAAAGATATTCCTCTCGCTCTCTCTCTCTTTCTCTTTTAGATCGATTTTTGTTGAACTCTCGACCAAAGCAGGGCTGCAGAGCATGCATCTCATTATAAAAGTAAAAGAAGCCGGATATAATAGACAACAAAAATAAAATTTATTCTAAGCGGTACAGCCTAGTGCCTTTCCTTAAGGCGGATAAAGAGACCATTCTCGGCCTTTAGGGTCAGTACAGCAGACAGAATAGGATCGTATTTGTGGCGAAGCGGGTCGCGCTTCTTCCTTTCTTCAGGCCGATATCCCAGGGTAGTACTTATATATCCATCCTTGGAGGCAAGCTCGTCCAGAGCAGGCAGCACTTTAAAGTGGCGAATAATTTTGGACACCACCGTCTTGATCTCCAGCAGAGCGAACTTCTGGCCAATGCAGTTGCGGGGGCCGGCACTGAAGGGCACATACTCAAAGGGACCTGGTTTCTCCAGCTCAAAACGTTCGGGCCGGAACTTGTGCGGATCCTTGAACACACGCTCATTGTAGCCGAGCATAACGAGTGCCAAATTTAGGGTGGTGCCTTTCGGCACGAGTTCGCCCTCTACAAAAACGAAGAGCAAAGTTAACAAAATATTATTTAAGATGCTGTCAATGAGCTACCAATAATATAGTCCTTCTCAGTGAAGCGACCAATGAATGGCACACTGGGATACAGGCGCTGTGCCTCTTTGATGAACAGATCCAAGTATTTCATCTGGGAGATTTCCTGGAAGGTTGCGTCACGACTCAGCCCGGAATCACCCATCACCTCGCGCTGTTCCTTGAAGAGTTTCTGCTGCTCGTCCTGGTGTCTGGAGAGCAAGTAAACGGCAAAGGACACTCCCGAAGTGGTCGTGTCGTGCCCCTCGAACATGAATGTGGAGACTTCTTCGTACAGCTCCTGAGTCGTAAGCGGACGACCATCGATCGTAGATGAAAGCAAGGTGTCTAGGAAGGCCATTTTCTTGCGGGAAAATTCATCGCCCTTACTGGCCGAGACTGTGCCGTCTTTGTGGGCCTTGATGCGCTTATCGATGATATCGTTGGTAAAGTCCTGCAGGGTCTTCAGGGTCTTGCAATAGGCTGGGTACTCGGGAGCCCAGCGAAACAGCAGGTCAATACGCTTGAACGGATTGAAGGCTCTCATGTTGATGGTGTAGCACATGCTATAAGAGGAAAGAACAGCTAGTAACAGAAACGAGATGTCAGTCCCGCCCGTCAATACTTACTCTTTGAATGCTTGAACAATCGAGGAGCTTCGGTTTTCCATTGCGTTGACGGACACTCCCATGGCAGTGTCGCAAATGACATCCAGAGTGAAGTAATGGGCCTGCTCCTGAAAGTCAAAGATGTTGTCGCCCGCTGCCACATTCTTCAGGTGCTTAATGAACTTTGTGGAGTTGTCGTTCATCACTTCGTGAAAGTCCTGCAGTATGTTGAAGTGGAAGGCGGGCGTGATCATCTTCCGGTGCTTGTGCCATTTGCTGCCCGTGCTGGTAAGCAGGCCCAGGCCCAGCCATGGATGGGTGAGGTCATAGATATCCGACTTGGAAATCAGTGTCTGACTGCTGAGTATGAACTGGATAATAGAATCATTTTAGCAGTAGTTCAATCAAAAGATGTTCGAGCAGCTTACTTCCAAATACTTGTGATTGGTGACAATCAGATTTGAGTGGGATCCAACCCAGAAGCAAAAGTTATCGTTGCCGTACTGGTGCCACCATGTAAATAATTGGTCGAGAATCTCTATAGGGTGAACCACACAACAAAACTCATTGTTAGTCGATGCACATTCTGATTCCAAATGTTTTCACTGCTTGTACATATGTACATACATATGTATGTATGTATATATTTATGCACGAACTATCATTTCGTTTGACACGCAATAGATTTTCACTTGTGATTGCATTTAAAGTCTGCTGTATCAGACACAGTTTTTTTTTTTGTTTTAGCAACATTTTCAGACCAAAGTCGACCCGATGCTATCTTTTCAGAAGATTGTCTGGTGCCCAAGGAACTAAAGCGAACACGAATAGTTATATGTATACATATGTACAAGTATATGAGATTTTTGACTTATCAGCTGCACTTTGAAATTTATATTTTTACAGTGGTTGTTCGGCCGGAAACAACCCAACTGGAATAACATTGCCGCTGAGTTAATAACAAATGCAGTCATCAGTCACAACGCTATTCGAGATGGGCTATTTTAGTCGTAATCCGATTTGGAACTGCATACTCGATGGCACTGAAACTGCACCCACCTGTGGGACTCTTGCCGGCCTGATGGGCATTGCCCACGATGGGCAGCCGGCTGGGCCCCTTGAATTTATTCAGAGCTCTTCTTCGCCGAAACGTGCTCAGCTCCAGATAGGCCACCACCAGCAGTGGCAGCGCCAGTAACAAGTACAATACGAACCACATTTTCGATCGCGACTCGGTGAACCTTTCCGTACGCGGGGGACTACGAAAATGGGAGTGTAATTTTGTCGTCTCTGGGTTTATATACAAATACAAATATCGTACGATTTCTCACTTGCCCTCTTTCTCTCTTTAACTCTCTTTCTTTTTTACTATCGCTTGGCCAGCTACCAAAATTTTTGAGCTCCAACATATGTATGTATGTATGTATATGTACATATTTTGATGCGTTCAGCGTGACTCGGCATTAACAAATTCAAGTTTTTTACTGATTTGATCAATATAAGTTCATAGCGGGGCTGAAGTTGGTAAGAGAGCGTAGTCATTGTGAATAGCACTAAACGGATTCTATAAGAATTTCTACAGAATGAATATTTTTGAATTTTTGGATTTGTATTAACGGCCAAGAAATTCCATCATTAATCCATTTGACTTAAAGCAAAGATTATACAACTTTGACTGTTGCTCTGAGCAATTAAGAAAGAGAGGAATACAGACCTGGACCCGAAAAAGGTAAACAAATGCCAGCCACATACATACATCGTACATGCATACATAATTTGGAGCCAGAGAGAGAGAGAGAGAGAGAGTCGGTTGTTCATGTCTGGGCTGTCTTTCTCTATCTCTCTCTCTAAAAAAAGAGAACAAGAAATCGGAAATTAATATATGGTAAGAGTATTATTCTACATATCAATGTTGTATTTTACAATTGTGTTACATACAGCTATGCCTAAAAGTATGCGCTTTAACAGAGTTTCAATCTGTCGGAAATTTAAAGATTTGTTTCGTTTAACAATTTATTGTAAACTAATTAAATAAAATGTATTTATAACAAATAAAAAAAATAATAATAATACAAATAATATGGAAAAAAAAGTAATATTCTCTTGAAAACTCACAAGGGAAAAGCTTTTAAACCATCACAAAACTGAAAAGTATTTGCTGTGGCAATATTTAAAGTCGTTTTTCATCTGGAAATCAGTCATTTCATAAATAATAAGCACTCAAAATGTTGTTGTACATATTGGATTATCATAGATGTTATTACTTAAGAGACTCGAGTTAGCTCTTCCCGTTTCTCTTAGCAAACCCCATTTCGATTCTGGTTCTCGAACACTAACACATACAGACATATTCGTGGTATTAGCGGTTTGATTAACACCAAGTATCGCGTCTCACCGCAAACGTGAGATACCGATTTAGCCTTTAGACCCACACGTCATTACGGCACAGTAAAGTGAGTCAAGCCAGTGCAATTAGGTTTAGCAATTACCGACAGGAGCATGCCACAAAGAACTACTATGTACGTTAATTGGGTGATTGATAGTGTTATTTGAAGCTTGCTTGACGAATAGCATAGCAAATGTTGACTACCAGAAAACAGCACAAGCACAAACGCAAACACACAGATGTTTGTGTTGGCTGAAGAAAGTTCAGGTAAGATAAGCTATCGATGGGGTTATCGGTGGGAAACATTTGTGACTTACTTAATCAGGTCTTTGATGTTGAACAAACAGTTTGAAACGAATAGTCCAGGCGAACAGTTGAACGGCATCATGTTTCTGATTGCAATTGCCATAATTTTGGCCACCATTTTGGTGTTCAAGGGTGTGAAGATATTTAACTATTTAGACCACATGGCTGGCATTATGGAAATGATACCAGGACCAACGCCCTACCCCTTTGTGGGCAATATATTTCAGTTCGGTCTGAAGCCAGCGGGTGAGTACTATTATCAGCCTGCCTATATTTATGCACTCTTTAAGGTGCGTTGGATAACACATGCTCGTAGCTTTTGTTTGATCGAATTTATTGTGTGCTGACATGGGAATTGTACATTTTATTTATCAAAAATGCATTCGATGTCCTCCGGGACAAGGATTTACTTTTCACAACGAATTGTGTTTGATTTTGTCTCCCTGTTCATATTCTAGTATTTGTTGCAATTTTCATCAAGTTCTCGGCGCATTTCCCAAGAGCTTTTCCACGGCACAGCTGAATAATTCGGTATTGTTTTCCCTCTACTCTACCATGAGCGTGCCTAAAGTAATCATTTCAAATGCACAATGGCCTGGGACTTGCACAGAGCTTCGGGATGAGAATGGGGATGCTGCACAACAACTGATAGTTTTGCATGGTCGGATGGTTACCTCCTTTCCGGCAGAGCCTGTTGTCCATTGAATGCGTATTATTATCCCTCTCTGTGCCTGTTGCTAGCTAGCTCATAGATTGCTCTTCAATTGGATTCGGCTCCTCAAAGGCATGAACCGTGAAGCAAAGAGAAATGCGAATGTATTCACCAGTTACCAGAGGCTAGGCTCCCTTTGAATTTTTTTTTTTTTGTGCACTTTTTGATACATTTCATACGCGCCAACCATTTTATAGCTACTTCAGGTTCAGGCCCAACCCAGACCCACATGTCGGATATATTTAGTTTATAATTTATAAGAAATCTCCAGCTACCTGGCAAGTGCAACTTTTACCCAAGTCAAGTGACGTATCCCAGCCACAATCTCAAGTGCAGTTTCCACAACAAACTTGTGATGGTAAATTAAAGTGTGGAGTGGCTAACATTCTGCCTGCTTGTTAATTTTTCCACAGAGTATCCGAAAAAGGTTTTGCAGTATTGTCGAAAATATGATTTCCAGGGATTTCGTTCACTGGTCTTCCTGCAGTATCACATGATGCTTAGTGATCCAGCCGAAATTCAGGTGAGTACCCACTCCAACATATATACCCCCACTGCACATTTACGAGTATGGCATGCCATTGTGTGTTGACTGACAGAACATTTTGTCGAGTTCATCGCTGCTGTACAAGGAGCACTTGTACTCCTTTTTGCGACCCTGGCTGGGCGATGGCCTCCTAACCAGTTCCGGTGCCCGCTGGCTGAAGCATCAAAAGCTTTATATGCCGGCTTTTGAACGGTCGGCCATCGAGGGCTATCTGCGTGTGGTTCATCGAACAGGCGGAAAATTTGTGCAGAAGCTTAATGAACTGACAGAGACACAGGAGCGGTTCGATGCCCAGGAGCTGGTGGCCAAATGTACCCTGGATATTGTGTGTGGTAAGTGAAGGATTCGCTTGCGAGCAGAGCAGAGCAGAAAGGAGCAGGGCGACCCACAAAAAACTTTGCACATTTGTCATGTCGGAGTTTTCTGGGGCTCTGGCCTTCTGGCTCTCTCCTGCGTTCGTTTTTTTTTTTTTTTTTGTAATTTATTATGAACGTTTTACAAATAAGATTTATTGCATAGAAAATGGCTACAAGTGCCGCAGATTGTAGGAAAAAGTTTTGCCCGCTCGACTCGCAGAACTGCGGCTAGAGGTACCTTCCCTCTCCACAATACAAAATATTTTGATATTCTACGGTTAAGATGGTTTTTTTGAAAAATTCCTCGACTAACCGGGAGTAATTTATTGACCATTTTGAATTTTCGTCTGGCTTCGTTTACTTAAGCCATAAGTTCAGCCTTTTATTTTCGCTCTCCTTTCTTTGCCACAGAGAACGCCACTGGCCTGCCCAGCAACTCACTCAGCGGAGAGCCCTCCGATTTGCATGGGGCCATCAAAGAGTAAGTTTAATCTCAGCAAGGTCATGCGCTGAGAGTTGACTCGTTTCGTCCCGCTTACCTTCTTTATCCATCCGCATCCGCAGTCTCTGCGATGTCGTCCAGGAGCGCACCTTCAGCATTGTGAAGCGTTTCGATGCCCTCTTCCGCCTCACGTCCTACTACATGAAGCAGCGAAGAGCACTGTCTCTGCTCCGCAGGGAAATCTTTCGAGTAAGTACTAGTAGCTCAGTACGAGGGATTGGCTGAGTGGGCTTTAATATTCAATATTTTCCTTTAGATTATTACGCAGCGACGTCAACAGCTGGCCGATGAGAATGCAAGTGGGGAAAGGACCAAGCAAGCCAATAAGCCATTCCTCGATGTCCTCTTGGCTGCTAAGCTGGACGGGCGTGCCCTCAAGGAACGTGAGATTATAGAGGAAATATCCACATTTATATTTGCAGTAGGTGTTTCAAGCCAAGTGATCTTCTGTTTTGTTAAATGATTTCATTGATCTAGGGCCACGATCCAGTTGCTTCCGCCATTTCCTTCACTCTGTACACACTCTCGCGGCACCCGGAGATTCAGCAAAGAGTTTTCGAGGAGCAGCAGCGTATCTTTGGCCAGGATATCTCGGCAGAAGCGGATATAGGTAGGCTGGATCAGATGCGCTACCTGGAGCTGGTCATCCGCGAGACGCTGCGTTTGTACCCGTCAGTCCCGCTGATAGCGCGGACCAACCGCAAACCCATCGACATCAGTAAGTAGTTGGACATCGAATCAAGGTCGAATGGACACACATTTCATTCGACGTTCCTACACTTGCAGACGGCACCAAGGTGGCCAAACGCACCACGGTCATTATGTGTCTAATTGCCATGGGCTACAATGAGAAGTACTTCGAGGAGCCGTGCGTCTTCCGTCCGGAGAGATTCGAGAATGCAGGCGCAGATGTCGGCATCGAAGCCTTCAAGAGTGTCCCGTTCAGTGCTGGTCCCAGGCGATGCATTGGTAGGGACGAATGTCTTATGAACCAACCAATCCACTGACTAACTCAATCACTCATCCGTTTTCCAGCCGAAAAGTTTGCCATGTATCAGCTGAAGTTGCTGCTATCCCAGCTGGTGCGCAACTTTGAGATTTTGCCCGCCATCGATGGCTTGTCATCGGGCATAAACGATCATTCCCAGGTGGAGTGTGTTCCCCAGAGCGAGTACGATCCAGTGCTGAATATTCGGGTCACTCTCAAGTCGGAGAATGGTATACTAATCAGGCTGGGCAAGCGAGCATTTGTGGAGTAATTTAAACGAAAGTCTAGTCTAAGAATTCAAATTATATTCATACTGAAAGTGTATATACTCGTACTTGTAAATAAAAGGCATACATATATTCCTCCTTGAATCCAATATATCTTAATTTTATATACAGACTTACTCAGTGCGAAACCTTGGGAAATATTTCATTTTGATTAGCACTCCATTAAAAGTCGCT